GGGCAGTGCATGTTGTCTCCCAATGCAGTGCATGCTGTCTGCAGGGCAGTGATACTGTCTCCCAGGGCAGTGATGCTGTCTCCTGGGGCAGTGATACTGTCTCCCAGGGCAGTGCATGCTGTCTGCAGGGCAGTGATACTGTCTCCCAGGGCAGTGCATGCTGTCTCCCGGAGCAGTAAGCTGTTGCACATAGGCGGGGTTTCTGAAACATATCACATTATGTGCCTTCATGCAGAATATATGAAGAAAATAAACAACAAGGGCGGTATTTTACGGTTAGCAGGCTTAGGTATTTACATCATCAAGCGTAAGCGTACTGGATAAGTGGCTGTAGAAAATGAATGGATGGATGGATGGATGGATGGATGGATAGACTGATGATGAATGGATGGATGGATGGATAGATGGATGATGGAAATGATTCCTGATGCTATTAGCTATGGATGTAATATTGCAAGAGTACAATTACTACTTTCATTGAATGTGTCACATATAATAAAATAATTTCGATACCAGTGGTCATTTGCCAGTGGCTTTTATTTCATGTTTGCTTTAGGTGAGTTTGTGTCAAATGTAGTTTTTAATATTATTCTTTACTTTTCTGTCATTTGAAAAAAATTATCCAAAGAAATGCACTGCAAAGCAGTGAGACACAAACCCAGCCTGGGCAGAGGCAGCCATGGTGAGGTGGGGGGGGTCCTTACGGCCCCACTTGAGCCGGCCAATGCAAACAGTGACTAAGTCAGTAGCGCTCCAGGGATGTGGAAGACAGCGCACTCACTGGAGCGTCCTCTAGGAACAATGTCCTACGTCTTTGTCTCGCAAGTATCAGCAGCAAATTGCCAGTGCCATCAACAAAACAAAGCTCTAGCCAAGATATATGGGAACCTGTTTTTTCATGGATGTCTCAAACTTTTTTGTTGACAAAAATCCCCTTCTATCTTGTAGGGACAAAAGTTTTCTCAATAGGTATCTAAAAATATCAGGTTTAAATGAACTACGTGCAGTAGGACTGTTAGGTAACGTACTTCAGGTTCTGTTTTCTCTTGGTAATGTTTGCCCAATTCCAGAGATTTCTGTGGAGTTTCGACTCCAGGAGCCAGAATCCACTTTTGTAGTTCACATCAATCCTCGAAGCCTCATAGGACCTGTTCTTTGAAAGCCTGGTTTCAGCAGAAGCCTGATTTCTATGGAGCAGGCAGCTTACAAGACGGCCCTGTCACATCCACCTAATGGCTCATTTCACTGGCCTGAAATTGCACTGCAGTTTGGAATGTCTCCGGATGTGGGCACTCATTGTCCTGATAAGCATTCTGATGTTTTACCTGCTTAACAGCACTTTTTGGGGCATCTGGGTCAGGCACAAATTTTTGTGCTAAAACAAGACAGACAAACCAGTGAAGACCTCGACTGTCAGTGGATCTAACTGCAGATCATCATGAGGATGCACTGTAAATGTTTCAGAGTATTTAAATCCTTTATAATTCTCACAGATCTAGAAATGGTTTACTGATTCAGTGAAGAAACCTCACTTTAAAAAGTACAGTCTGTGAATATCACAAAACAAGCTAGTGGTAATGCAGATAAGCTGTATTGTTTAGGGTGTGTGATGATGACGCAGCAGTAAAATGGTGTCAGTCTTTCCAAGCCGATTTAACTCTGCATGTGTCTCATATAGAAGAAAAATCCTTAGGACCATAAACTGCAGGCCTGCCTCTGGTCAGCAGCTGTCATCATCCCACCTGATAAGACTGGTTTGTGCCAGTCTGGAGTGTGCAAGTGTGAACATATGTCATAAGATATTGTGAGTCAAATTGATCATATGGCCAAAACAAGCAACAACGGAAATGCTAAATTAAAGTCACATTACACATTTAACCATGTTTTCTTTCCCTGTGTATCAGATTCTTTCTGATGTGTAAGAATCCACTTGCTTCATCTCATTTTAGCTTAACAAACAGCAAATGAATATAATGTGATACCGTGCAGCCATACACACGGCATTGAAAGGCAGATCAAATACCAATTAAGGATCCTTCTTTACTGCCTTTATTTCGCAAGAGACCCTCCCCAGCAAGGTGGCGTGTGAATCTGCATATAAAGCGTGACCTTCTGGAGTGTGATACAGGGACGAGGAGGGACAGATCGGGGGCTTCCCACACGCGCAAATGGCCGCTGTAAATTCACTTACTTCCTTATCACCTTGGCGATGCCTCGTGGAATCTTCGCTCCCCCGTGATCAGAGTTTGCCGTCTGTGTTCAGTTTGGCAGTCTTACAGACTGGACTCTGTTATCAGGGATCTTTGTTTTGCTAAGTTGGGGTAGATGGCTGGGGGGTCTGGTCCCTTGATTCCTTGCACCCCATGGGGGGGAGGGGGGGACCATCGCTGACGTGGGAATGTGGTACTTCAGTCGCTTTTAAATCCCTGGTATAAATCACCCAGAGTCCTGCTCCGCCTCACAGGAGTCCAGTAAAGCCTCTTTCTTCTGTGCTCGGCCTCTCGGAGGCCTCCTTCAGTGCTGCGTGGGTTTCCAGCGCCATGAAAGCACGGCTCCTCATCTCCCCCGCATTCCCGCTCCCCCACATGCACACATGTGCTCATTCTTTCAATGGCTTTTTCTTTTGACGTAACACATCTGCCATCTTTGTTACTGGGTTTTTCACGCTGTTCTTCAATTTGACTGATTTTGTGTGGCGAAATTTCATAACATATATATGTGTATCGTTTAAATTAATTTTTTCTCTGCTTTCTTAACAGGTGTTTCTGGTGCTATGTACAGATTAGGTTAATAATTGTTATTAGCAAATATTTCAATATCTATGCTTAACAAGTGGGCTTATCTTTGATTTAAATCACATCAGTGATTTAGCTGTAAATTACATAAATGTTATATGATTGCGAGATGGTATTTTACAGAATGTTGACGTAGATGAAGCTAGTCGTAAGCCTATGTTTTGCACACTAATGTGGCTCAGCTGGTTGAGTCTCTCTAGTTGTGACCGGTTAGTCACCACTTTGACCCTCATCCTTGGCAGAATAAGCCCTTGTGTGAGGCCCCTAACCCCTTGAAATGTTCTACGGATGCCAGATAAATGATCTCACCCTGCGCTCTGGCCCCTAGCCTCACTCTCACCTGCATGGTTATGTGTGCGTGTCTCAAACAAGAGTAAGATGAGATATATGAGAGAAACGCTCCAATATAACTGTACAATGGGCAAACAAAAAAGTAAAAATATGATATAACATAAGGAATCATTGTGCTTGTTTCCATATGGATAAATCAGATGCCTGTGTGAGTGACCAGGAAAAGCCCTGTGTGAGACAGGCCTGCTGAGAAAGCCAGGTGTGAGACAGGCCTGCTGAGAAAGCCCTGTGTGAGACAGGCCTGCTGAGAAAGCCCTGTGTGAGACAGGCCTGCTGAGAAAGCCCTGTGTGAGACAGGCCTGCTGAGAAAGCCATGTGTGAGACAGGCCTGCTGAGAAAGCCCTGTGTGAGACAGGCCTGCTGAGATTTAGGTCTGATGCTGATGTCGCGCTTGTGAGTGACGCTTTGGTGAAGGTGAAGGCCATGTGGCCCCCGCTCAGCGCCCTGGGCAAGTCACACGACGGTTTGCAGAGAAATAGTCATATAAACATTCATTTACCACTCTTTATTACATTTAAAAAACATGATATTACAGGCATTACACAAAAAATACAAAATAAAAAGGCATAAAAGAGGACCAGAGAGGTTTAAATATTAACACACACATTCTATTTATGTAAAATAACCTGTACATGTTTAACCATAAGTGGCAAAAAATACGATCAATCATTTCAGATACAACATAACATGACATTGAATCAATTGTTCATAAGGTACACAAAGCTGTTCCAAGGAAGTCCTGGTCCTGGAAGCGACTGTGTCAAATTACTCAATATGACATAACTAGTCAGGATGTTTTTCAGCTGATGATACGGGTCACAAACTGCGTTTCAGACACAAACGTCGGGGTGATACAGTGCCATCCTCGCTCCTTCGCATGGCTTCCTCCCAGTGATCCCTGGGTGGTGTGGCTAATCCCTGTGTGCGTGTGGACTTTGCACACAAACCAGCGCAGCACTTTGTCCTCGTGTGTATAATAGACAATTTGAACTGGGGACAGTAATGGCTGGGGACCTTCAGTCCCTGGAGTATGCAGTCCTCGCCATGTCGTCTGTCACCTGCGACACCTGTCCTTTCCTTGGGGGGGGGGGGGGCGTACGTAATTCTCACACTTTATACATAGTCCCTCTTGTTATAGCTGCTAGGTGCATGTGACCTGGCGGTGGAGTACGCTATCCTGCTGGGGGGGGCATACCTCTGCTCCTTCTGAGGGGGGCAGCTGCAGCAAAGTATGCCCCCACCGATGAGGAGGAGGGAGGCCGCTGCCCATCCAAGGTACAGCGAGGCTCCTATCTCCCTCTTCTGGCCCTCGGGGATGGTTGGATTGTAGAAGTCCATCACGATGGTGTGAGCGGACCAGGACACGGGGATGAGCTGCATCAGCGCGGTGGCGATGAAGGTGACGCCCGCTGAGATCATCACCCTGGCCTTGGTGGTCTCGTCCTCCACGCAGTTGGTGCACTTGGCGCCCACCACTGAGACCAGCACGGCCAGCAGCCCCAGGACGATAGCTATGACTGCTAGGGCGCGGGCCGCCTGCATGTCCCGCGGTAGAGCCAGCATGGAGTCATAGACCTTACACTGCATCTGCCCGGTGCTCTGCACCACGCAGTTCATCCAGATGCCCTCCCAGATGGTCTGCGCCGTCACGATGTTGCTGCCGATGAAGGCGGTGACCCTCCACATGGGCAGCGTGCAGGACGCGATGCTTCCAATCCAGCCCAAGATGGCTAACGCTACTCCCAGGATCTCCAACCCCAGGGCTGCCATTTCTGCTCCGTGCCAGTTGGGATCGTGCTGCTATTCGCCTCTGCGAAACTCAAAAAGAGTGCTAGAGATCCCGCTGAAACTATGACAAGAATTCAATCCGCCATCCTCTTTATAGTTGTGGGAATGGAGAAGGCGGGGCTGTGACATCACATGGAGACAAGCCAACGTCGTCTCTACCTTATTTCCGTTGTTACCTGTGATGGTTTGAAAATACAGCGGTGTAATAGCTAATCTGTTCTCCATGGTCACTCTCGTCTTGATTTAGGTTTTGGAGTAAATGAGTACCCAGTATGGCACTTCTGTGGGGTTAATCGTTAACGAGAGACCCAGTTTGATCAGGTCATAACCTAAAGAGTCATGTATATAAATCATATGTACTGGGATCGTCTGAATGTCCTGAATGTCTCGCTAGTTCACAGTAATTAATACTCATTTCTGAAATGACCATGTGATCAAAGGAACAGTCTGACAAAGCCTAATAGTGGATTTTTTTTTTAAAGAAGTCAAGATAGATAGATAGATAGATAGATAGATAGATAGATAGAAAGATAGATAGATAGATAGATAGATAGATAGATAGATAGATAGATAGATAGATAGATAGATAGATGACTTAAAGCATAATGTTTGTTTTCATATGGATTAGACATGCCTTTTGCACTGTGTTTAGCCGGCCAAAGTTCACCACTGGTAACTAGCGAATGGCAGAGCAAAGTTTTCTAATTGCTACCCGTCTGGTTAAGCTAGGAATGAGAGTTACTGACTATTTTTTGACATGGATGCTGGTCATTTAGGCAAACCACAGGCTCTGTTATCGTCACGTTCGGTCTGTTAGGTTTTCAGGCTTGCTGGTATTTCTTTCAAGCTGCCATGAAGGAAACCTTAACTGGGTCACGTAAACTGGGCCAACAGGCGGAAATGAATGCGGGCCAAACAGGAGCCTGGGTACTGACTCAGGTGGTCTGTTTACAAATATAATTTATTTCACAAGTACGTTTTTCAAAACTAGAGAGCAGATATGGACCCTTCCGTCCATTTTCTGTTCTTTTTGTCCATTCATGGTTATCTATCAATCCATCCGTCTTCCAAGCGCTTATCTTGACCTGGGGTTCAGGGGGCTGGAGCCAGGCAGGATTGGGCTGCACTCTGCGTGGCATTATTCATGCTTATGGTATGTACAAATATTCAAGATAAAACTTTGGAGAGACTGAGAACAGGGCTTTTAACACGGGAGAGGGAGAAGTTTAGTTAGAAACGCTCTTATTATTGAAAGATTTGCCGTGAGGTGAGTAAAGGTGAAGCTTGTCTGATAAACTCCCCCGTGCTCCATCTTACGGGGTTTCCCTCCCTCCCAACATGACGCTGCCTGGTGCGGGGGTTAATCCCTAAGCTGAGGGGGTCCCAGCACACACTGGGATGACTGGGAGCAGGGCAGTGAAGCCGTACGCTGCAGGGAAGCTGCCTCCCCACAGAAGGGGCATTGTTTTCACTGAAACCTCAGGGAATGGAGTAGCTTTCAGCACGGAGTCAGTTTCGGGGTGTAGTGACTGCCTTCTCTTATCACTCAGCGGTCGGGAGAGCAAACAAACTCCAGACTGGAATCTCATAGTGCTGCCTGTGATCTGGGATTCGTCTGGAACACTCCTCTTTGTGTGTGTGTGTATGTGTGTGCGAGCGGGTTTACCTATCCTTATGGGGACATAATGTCCCCATAATGTGATAAATATCCATTTTTTTCCCTTATGGGGACCGGTTTCCTGGTCCCCATAAGGGAAAACTCTATTTTATAAAAATCGGTGACTGCTATGAAAAAACTAAAAATGCAAAAACTCTTGTATTTTGTTAGGTTACTTATGGTTATGGTTAGGGCAGGGTAGGGGTTAAGGTTGTCATAGTTAGCGTTAGCATTTTTCCCATTGAAATGAATGAGCGGTCCCCATAAGGATATGTTTACCCTACATGCGCGTGTGTGTATGTGTGTGTGTACCTGAATTTCCTGAAGGGACAAGTGTGATGTGACACAAGCCAGGGACACAGTACGGATGCTGTATTTGTGGAACAATATGAATCATCATTTTCAATCACACTGAGATCACCATTTTATAAAGTAATTTCGGTTTGGTAATATACGTGCAGATGGGAACACAGGTAAATGAGTAATGTGCAGTAAAGGAGCCTTGTTTGCAGAAGGGTGAGCCATTTTCATTTCGGGACAAAGACCCTAGAGGGGTGGAGTCTCTGAGTCCTCAGGTCAGAGGGTCATGTGATCATCGGCAGGGAGACCATCAGCGACGCAGCATGGAAAAAAAAAACGGAACTGAAGAACAAAGCAACTGCAGCAGTTTATGGTAGTTTTACTCACACTTTAGAGTCGATGATACATTGCAATAATCATGTGCACATACGTCACTCAGTAGTAAAACCGCACATTCAGAGCAGGATGAAAACATTTGGAATGCAAAGTGGGTGATTTAGAAAACATAAAAGTCCTTTAGACATATTTACATGCATGAGTTACCTGAAGCTTGCTAAATGTGTACAACAGAAAACAGGGAGCTTTAAAAGTGTAGCAAACAGGCTAAAGATAACACAAAATGCATCAATTTTATTTTAAAAACATGAACAGGAGAGCCAGTGTTTTCTCCCTACTGGAAGTCTCCAGAATGATTTATATGCAGTTCAATCAGCATATCTGTGTCATTTTGTGCTTGAAGGCACCAAATGAATGAAACTTACAACCGCTCAATGACTCAGTGACGTGTGACATAACATCGCGGAGCAGCTTCGCAGGAAAACCATCGACCTGCAGAAATCGAACGCCGTGTTCCGCGTATATGCATGTCGCTCCAGTAGCAGGCGGGAAAAGCCTTTTTGGGGGAGTTATCTGAGAGTCCTGAGGTCCTGCAGCTGCTCACACATAATCTCTCCTGCCGTGTCCGGAGAAGGAGACGGGCTTGACGGCCGAGTGGCCCACCGTGTAGGGGCCATAGCGCTCTCCCTTTGGGGGACAGGAGCAGCACAGCAGGGCCCCTCCCAGGATCAGGAGACAGGAGGCAGCCCAGCCGAAATACAGCGAATTCCCAAACTCTCGCTTCTGCGTCTCCTCCAGCAGCGGGTTGTGGAAGTCCACGATGATGACGTTGGCGGTCCAGGAGACGGCCACCAGCAGCAGCAGGCCAGCGGAGATGAAGGTGACGCCCGCGCCCAGGATGATGCGGGGTTTGCTGTCCTTGTCTGCAGTGCAGTTGGTACATTTGGCTCCCGCCACCGACAGGGCGATGGCCGCCACGCCGAGGAGCATGGAGACGACAGTGAGCGCCCGCGACGCCTGCAGCTCCTCGGGGAGCCCCAGCATGGAGTCGTAGACCCTGCAGTGCATCTGGCCAGTGCTCTGCACCACACAGCTCATCCACAGGCCCTCCCACACCACCTGGGCCACCACGATGTTCTGGCCCACGAACGCCGCCACCCTCCACATGGGCAGGAAGCAGGCCACCATGACCCCCAGCCAACCCGCCACGCAGAGCGTCACGCCCAGGATCTCGAGGCCCGCGGAATACATCCCCGCATCTGCCCGTCCGGCGGAGCACAGGCAGTGGAGAGACACCCGATCTCCCTTCCCTCAGAGGACGGGGTATGATTTCGAGGTGGGAGAGAGAGAAGGCGAGAGAGGAAACGCATTCTACCTTTTTTATATTGCTAAGAAGACTGAAGGTGGAGTCAGCCTGAGCTGGCTTTGTGTTTGCAGCAAAGCAGGACCGGAATCAGTAGCAGATAATGGTATTCCGCGTTCGCCATCCTGCCAAGCCGTGTCCGGCAGACAAAAGGCAGCTTGTTAAAGGCTGGAAGGGGCAGCGGTGGATGGACTGAGCCAAAATTAAAAAAAATACATGGGCCGACCCAAACTGCGGGGACGCCAATCAATTTTACCTCTAATCTGTTCCTCTAATCAGTGCATGGCTGCCCAAATTTATATGTATTTCTGGTATTTACGAAAATTAAAATCTATATTTGCTGAGAGTAGTTAGCACAGGGTGACAGGCAGGTTCAGTGGCCATAAATAATTTATTTTTACTTGACACGAGTGAGTGAAGCAGCTGTTGCATATTGATTTGAAAGCTGATTAAAAGTTTTGATTCAATTATTTACTTTTATGTCACTTTTTTACAAACCAAGAAACGTTGAGCGGTCCCAGACCACATGTGACTTATACTGTGGCTATAATCCCCCTCCGAGGGCACCTGGAACGGCGCCCCCCACAGGCAGGGCAGCAAACCAATGGCACAAAGCGGCTGCCTGGATTCCTGAACCTCGATGAAAAGTGCAGAGTCACCGTCCCAATGAGAAAGCAGGCCAGGGCCCCCACGGACACAATAACACCCTGTGTCTGTTGAGACCCAGAGATGTGTCACTCGATCTGGGGCTCTGCTCCCCCTCTCAGACCATGAATATGCCGTTTGTGCTGAAAGGAATAGACTCTCCTTTTGTTCAGGAAAACAGGATGAAGAATGAGGGAAAAATGCATTTCGGTTATAAGACTGAGGAGATGCAAGGTGTGGCCACCTTCATCGCTGACAGACTGTTAACTGTCGAACTGACGTGTGTTTTGGCGAGTGGGGGTGGGGGGAGGCATGAAGGCTATTGCCCCACAGAGTCCCTGCGGTGACACAGGACACCTGCATGGTTGCTATGGAAATGTAGGTGCGGAAGTTTTTTGTCCCTTGACTGTTACCCTGCAAGCACTGCGCCATTTTGTTTTTCAGCCTTCCGCAGCAAGCTTACCGATGCCTGGGGATTGTATATGATCAGGTGACTGGAAACGCAAGCTGTCGTTGGACTGGTGATGCTGATCAGGATGGTTTGGTGGGTAAAAGGGCCCCAGCTGTGCCAGGTTCAAGCTGACTGGCTGATCTTTCACTTTCCTGTTCATTTTGGGAGCCAATCAGGGATGACCCCATGAAATGGCGAGCATGTACACACATGAAAGAAGATGGTACAGTATTTACGACAGCGCATAAACCATAAAACAAGGTTTAACAATAAACATTGGCTGGAATAGCACCAAGTATCATCCATCCATCTTCTAACCAGTACAGGATCAAGTTGTTACAACGGGTTCCCAGTATTGTTTTAAAAAATTCAAAGCCCTATTGTCATTAGTTAGTGTCTATGGGTGAGTGTCATAATTGAGTTCCTGTCCCAGTAGCAATAAAACAAAATATTTGGTGTCTCCAGCTCTCACTGCTTCTCTGCAGGAAAGTCACATAAATCAGAGGCTAGCTGAGTACCCCCCCCCCCCCCCCCAAAGAAAGCGTGACCCATAGGAGAGCACCCCCTGCAGGAGACCCTCTGCGGCAGCCACTGGGAGCGATTCCTTTGAGCTGGACTGTGTAAACATCTACATATGCTTGCTGAGGTGATGCAGATGCTCGGGATTAAATGTGGCTTTGTGAGCCTGATCATTATGGCAGTGACTCAGATGGAGCACTTGGGGAGGGGGGCGGTGCTGGGGTCAAAGGCCATGCCCTTAACTTCAAAAAATGTTTCATTGGTGGTATTTGCATGTTCACCGTAAGGTCTGATAAGAAGCAGCACACTGAAATGCTCTGTGTCTAGATGTGAAACCAGTGGAGGCTGGGCAGATACTGGTGACCTTTGGTCTGGCGATGAAAGCTAGCAGAACCTCGCAGATCATCTGTGCAGCCCTGGTTATCTGCTCAAACAAAGAGCGAAATGGTCTAAAGGTACGGGAAACAAAACCTCAGACAGTAGCTTTTAAAGAGACAGCCATCATTTCAGTCATGAGTCAGTCAGTGAATTAGCCCACATGGACAGACAGACAGACAGACAGAGAGACAGACAGATAGATAGACAAACAACTTTTTAAAGAAAAGCCAGAGAATTACCCTTGTCCTGAATCAAGTCCTACAGGTTCTCTATTGTACAATAATCTCAAGCTAAAACGAACATGGGGTGTATTTTTGAATCTGTTTGTTTTTTGAGTTGCACGTACACCTAGTGGAACATGTACCCTGGATGCTTTTTTTGGGTGGAGGGGTGAGAAGGATCAAGGTCAGCACGCGTTTGAAGTTGAACGACAAGCGACACGTCACCCCCTGGTGAGGGACATGGTCATTACACCCAATCATTGTCCGCTAACATTGGCCATGCATTTCTTGGCTCTCCCTTCAGTTCACGCTCAGTAATTAAATGCCTCATAGCTGGGAATAAACAGCAGACATGGGAGCAGTTCCAGTGCATCAGCGTCATCCCAGAGCGGGTTAGCGGGTGCACTCTCACTGCAGTGGCTCTGCAGCCGGTTCTCCGTGCCTTTTTCCTTGCTGTGGGTGCAGGCGTTGGCGCAACCTGTTTTCTTCCGTTTGAGGTTCCTGCCCGCCTGCCATCTGTCATCGAGAACCGGCACGGGGGGGAGAGGGACTAGGGCATACCCCAGGCGACCCGACAGAACCGTGGCGTCAGGAATCCATTTCACCACCTGACTCGACAGCTTTGCCTCAAAGTTTCGCCACCAGAGAGAAGAGCACGAGCACGAGTGTGTGGATCAAATCCAAACAAGGCGGCAGCCCTAAGCAGGCCCGCCCTGCTCATTGTCACCAGCGCTCACGTGACGTGTGACCGTAACTTCTGGAAGAAGATGACTTTGAGTCACGCTGACTGGCCAAAAAAAACAGTCTGGACAGAAGTGCAGAGCCCAAAGGGCAGGGCTGGTGTCTGAGTGCTGCAGCATCTAGGAAGTCGCTGCACGAGGCTCCCGATATTTCTTTGGCTGCAGTATGTGTCACCTTCATCACAATAAGCCCAGTGAGATCTGAAGCAGCAAAAAAGAATGAATGTTACATTTTTACAGCACTTCATAGAACCAATTTGGAGCCAATTGAACAACCACCACTATGTATCAGCTACCTTGGTGATGCAACGGCAGCCATTCTGTGCCAGTTGGGGCCGGAGCGAATTCACCAGTTAGATACAGGGGATAATTGGGGGGGCAGATTTGATAGGGCCACATTAGGTACTTTTAGGCAGGGGATCAGGGTACCACCCCTACTCTTTCGAAAGATGCTCGATGATCTTTTATGACCTCAGAGAGTCAGGACCTCGGTTTTTACATCTCAATAACAGCACAATTTTTACCCATCACTGCACTGGAGCATTGGGATCTTCACAGACCACAGGACAGACTAACCTGTTGGCCACACCAACACCTCTTCCAGCAGCAGCCCAGCTTTCTTAGTTGGTTTCCGATCCAAGTACTGGCCAGACCCCAAACCTGCTTAGCTTCAGGTGGATCATCTAGTCTGACCTGTTGGTGGTATATGACTGCTGACAAAAACACTGCAAACCTGACTGAGAACCATTAACTACCACAGACAAACAGTGACTGTCTGTGTTTGGGCCACAGAACCAGGCCCAGTAGGAAAAAATGAACAGCCTTGATGTCTGACCAATGACGGCGCAATCGCAAATCTGGTCAGCTCCCTTCGGGCAGATCCGTGTTCTCTCTGCAAGCCCCACAATCCTTTGCTGCCACTGCTGGCATTGAGGGACATGGATCTGATTAAAGATAATCCAGAGAAGCCTAATTGAAGTCACCCTCCCACGCATACACACAGACACACAGCGCCGAGTGACTCCAGGTAACATGACTTGAAGGGGTCTTATTTCAAGTTTACTATAAGAATCTCAATCATGGATACTGAGCCCAGAACAGGAGAACCTCACAATAGTAGCTCTCAGAAGATTCTCAATGGGTAGGTGATATGCTGAAAAAAGGCCTTTCCTCAGATCCTTATTATGAAAATTCCTTGGAGCATACCTCTGCGTGGAACCCAATCTCCAGGTCAGAGAAGGAGACCTTTTAATGAACATCTTGGGAAAATGGGTCCATTATTACCCTGGCCCTCATCTGGCTGCCCCACAGTGCTCTCTTTCATTTAACAAACAAGCTACTTTTAAGAAGAATTATTCTGCATTTTTTTCCCCCAAGAGTCCAACAGTCACAACCTGCTAGCAGATTGTTTACCTCCCCATCGCCTAATTTAATCTGTCTTTCCTGCAAACTTCTGCCACGGAGCGAGGGATCACACCGGCGTGTTCTGGGACCAAACGGACCTGCACACCTGACCAAACACATCCTCTTCTTTCTCTAGCAGCTCGGAAGGAAAGTACAAGGTTAGTCTGGAGTTTTTTCCTCCCATATATTGCTGATTATGGCCACATTCTAATGCTAATTAGCTATACTGACTTGCTGCTATTTCACAGACGTCCTGAATCTACCGCTGCGAATAATTATTTAACTACATGATGCGTGTGGTAGCAGTATTATTGAGGAATGTGGCAATGAATTTCCCATCGTCTGCGGTGCATGTGATTCACTTTGGCTTAAGTGCTGCCTGGCAGTTGTCTGGGATACAAAGGACATGCAAACTGTTGTATTTTCCATGAGTATGTGGGAGCAGGCACGTCTGCAGGCACCCACCGCTCTTTCCGTTCCGGGGCTGTGGCCCTTGAATGTGAGCATGTATCAGGGCCCGCTGCTGTTTTTTGACATTCCACGTAACTTGAAGCTAATGCAAGTTAGAGATGAGGGCTGGTTCCCCTCAGGAGATGGAGAGTCGTCAACTTTAATTTACTATTGATGGCAGCTGTGCAAAGTGCCGTTCAGGGGGCTGAGAGCTGAGAGCAGGGCAGCTTTCCTCGATGCCGCCACGCCGTCTGCGTGCCTGAGCTCCGACTTCAGCCAGAACTTACCCATGACCTCATTGTCTCATTAGTCAATTATCCTGATTCCAGCGAGAGTCACCTTCCTTTTCACTTCCCTGCTTCTCTGAGTTCTGGTCCATCATCGCTCCACAAAGATGAGTGCAGATTTAAAGCCTAATCCATACTTCCCTGTTCCACCTGCCGTTACAGTCTGTGCGCAGTGCTTGTGATGTAAATTTTGTCATCTGCGCAGACTGTATGCGTGCAGCCCAAACGTTGGGTCTAGAGCAGGGGTGGCCAATCTTATCCGCAAAGGGCCGGTGTGTATGCAGGTTTTTGGGATAACCTGTAGGTCAGCTGTTCAAACCCAGGTGTGAGGACTTTTCAGCCAATCAGTCCTCTAATTAGTAATCTAATTAGGGAGTTGCAGCGAAAACCCGCATACACACCGGCCCTTTGCGGATAAGATTGGCCACCCATGGTCTAGAGAACTTTTTGCGCAGCCGTGCACGTCAACTGTGCATGTGCATGGAACTATGTCTGCCGGTCTGGTAGAATATCATTGCTGACCACATGCGCCGACTGCGACCATATGCGTCCACGGACAAATGTAGTACATTTGGAAAAGTCTCTGCAGAGCATGATGTGGACTGTAAGGGAAAAGTGAAGTATGAACTAGGCTTAAGGCTGTTTAGTGTGACACCATCAGATTACCCTTCCCTTTAAGTCTGTTTACTGAGACATCGTCAGAATACCCTTCCCTTTAAGACTGTATACTGTAAATGCATCAGATTACCCTTCCCTTTAAGTCTGTTTACTGAGACATCGTCAGAATACCCTTCCCTTTAAGACTGTATACTGTAAATCCATCAGAATACCCTTCCTTTTCAGGATCTTTAGTGTCAGGCCCTGACAGTATCCTTCCATTAAGGCTGTTTACTGTGAGTCCAACAGCAATCCTCTTGCCTTTAAGCTGTTTGCTGTGTTTGCCGGAGCCTAACGCACCACATGGGCGTGCAGCCGGCAGTCCAGCACATGGGTGTGGCCACAATGGTGTTTTTGTTCACTCTACCGTCTGTCTGATCAACTAATCCTTTTCACTGAGCTAATTAAAGGAATTACAGACGGGAATGTGCAGCATGACAATAATAAGATAAATGATCTCATTTCGCCTGAAGACCATCTGATGTGTATGAGCTAAAGAATGTGCAGCTAAACTGAACACTCAGCTGCAGTTGGGCCTGGAGGCTTAGCGAAATCGGGCACTTTGCAAGCTGTCAACGGTCTCCTCCCTTACCGTGCAATTATCCACGTCAGAATGACACAAACAAGTCACACATTTATGTACTAAAAGTAAAAAAAAAAAAAAAAAAAACTTATGAGAAGGACAACTTAAGGGTTAACATCAAAGGCTTAGGCCAGCTGGTTCTGTTGATGGTTCAGTTACTTGTGACGGTGTGAGACGGTGCGTTTATGAAGCCCCAATAGCACTATCCATGCTTCCATTCCAGTGCGCTCATCTCTGTTACCCTAAAAACGACAGAAACAAACATAAAACGTTTCCATCAAACCACAAAAAGCATCAACATTTCAGAATCATTGTTTTGCATCGGAGCAAGTGTCCGTGAGAATTTGTGGGGAATTCTGGGGCATGTTTTTGTGCAAAGCACTCCATCATCTTAAGCTAGTGAAGCCCATTTTCGCAGACAAACTCCACGGTTTGTTTGGTTGTCTTCGGTGCTTCACTTGCACACTTCCTGACAATGTGGGTCCTCTTCACTCATCGTCAATTTTTTTTCTTTAAACCTTGATCTAAATGCAAGTAAAGAATTCAAATGCAAGACCGCATCAGTGCTGCCAAAGCCAGGCACCGAATCGCCTGTTACAGACGTGAGCAGAAAGTGAGGAAGCGCGTATGCGAGTGGGCGAGGGGAGGGGCTGCCTTGATGAGGAGCTGCTCGCGATTTGTCGGAGGTTTGGGAAGATCCTGCATGAGGACAGTGAGATGGGAACAATTGTAGCGACACTGCACAGCCCGGGGCGTTGGAGTCAGCTGAAGGTACCCCACCCTGCCTCTCCCATGTGCTTATAAGCTGCGGTCCTCAGCGCAGGAACCTTACGGAGCATCGGCAGCACTCCTGCGAGACTCCAGCAACTTTCATTCTAGCAGAACACCTGTCACAGAGGCATCTGACGATGGTATCGGCCGGGATCCAGATTCTGGGCACCTGTGTGGGACTGCTTGGCTGGGTTGGGGTCATCATGGCCTGTGCCATCCCCATGTGGAAGGTGTCGGCCTTCATCGGCAACAACATCGTGACGGCGCAGATCATCTGGGAGGGCATCTGGATGAACTGCGTGGTGCAGAGCACCGGACAGGCTCAGTGCAAGGTCTACGACTCCATGCTGGCACTGGAGCGGGACCTGCAGGCAGCCCGTGCCCTCTGCGTGCTCGCCATCCTGGTGGGAATCGTCGGTATGGCACTAGCCATCGTTGGGGGCAAGTGCACCAACTGCATGGACAACGAGGTGTCCAAGGCACGGGTCTGCATCACTGCGGGCGCGGTCTTCATCATCGCTGGGATCCTCTGTTTAATCCCCATGTGCTGGACTGCCAGCGTCATTATCCAAGATTTCTACAACCCCATGGTGCCGCAGACGATGAAGAGGGAGATGGGAACGTCTCTGTACATCGGCTGGGCTTCGTCCGCCCTGCTCATCGCCGGAGGGACCCTGCTCTGCTACAGCTGTCCCCCCAAGGAGCCCTCGTACGCAGCCAAGTACTCCGTGGGCAGGCCAAACTCCACGGGTCAGAAGGTGTGAGAGGGACAGCAGGGGCCATCGGGGCGCCGGGGCGATCTGGGTCGACGAGGACCGCAGGAGGAGGAAACGGAGATTGCCGGCAACAAGAGCCGCAAATGCAAATTCCCAAAAAAAAGGTGTGACAAGGACTGACACAAGGACGACGCTGTCGTTAGCTGTTAGTAAGACATAGTCTGTCAGTCTGTGTATGTGTCTCTTTTCAGAGAAGGTGTGTGCTCTCAGTTCTTTGTGGGTTCAGACAAGAAACTGAGTAACCATCATTTAATCAAAGAAAAAAATACCTGTTTTATCTTATGGTATTGTCTGTATTTTTGTCTTGCTTGCTTTGTATGTTAATTTATATGCAGTTTTATATTTTTGTGACAATGCTGTAAATAAATTGTTCACGGTGATTCTCCCTCCGTGTAATATTTACTTTTATTATTTTAATAAGTTTTACAGTAATGGACCACAAATATGGAACTACTCACATCGGCCACGAGCTGAATACAAACGAACAAAAACACTAGACATTAGGACACCGCAGATTACATAACCATTAACGGAATCCAGACGCGTTGCATTAGCTGACGCCTTGGCTTTTTCTCCGTTGTGTTTTCCGCCGTTTATTCCTCTGGGCGTTTCACTGGAGCGTTTCGGGCGGAGCACCACGCCAAAGCAGCGCGCCTCTCACCTTCGGCTCTCCAATCTACACCCATAGCTACTTTGCTATTATCTCATGGTGTTAGGCTGCCCCCTAGCCTGCGAAGACGAAAGCACACTCTCATCTAATATTTCAATTAATGCGTTCCTTCCTTAATTATTTTTATTTTAATGTTGCGTAGCATCATAGTTCACAACATGATTCTAAATAAAAATATATAAATTATTTCAAATTAGCCTGGGTTAATCAGCGCGTCTGCGTACGTGCCGACCACAGGGACTAATTAACGCCATAATGAAAGTATTACCCGTACAGCAGACAAAAAAATACGACATTAGTACAAACATTGGTGGACATTTTTTTTCAGATTATAAAGCTGGGTAACCGCATTCAAAAAGCTTTTACATGTACTGTGTGTTAATGACTAATCTAGGTTTCGTAGCGCAGTGCACTTAAATTGCGTATTGTGTATACAGATAATGGTCTGATCAAGCGAATTCACACATGACTTTGCCCATTAGGAGTGATTAAAAGGCACGCCCTCTCTAATGTATATAATGAGGTAACCGCGCCCCAGCTGACACGGGCATCCAGGGTTGACCTTTGCGGAGTGGTTGTGCTTCACTAGTCATGGCTTCAACAGGCTTGCAGATCTTTGGCATCACGCTGGCGGTGATCGGGTGGCTGGGCGACATCGTGATCTGTGCGCTGCCCCAATGGAAAGTGACCGCGTTCATCGGCAGCAACATCGTCACCGCCCAGACGGTGTGGGAAGGGCTGTGGATGGACTGCGTGGTGCAGAGCACCGGGCAGATGCAGTGTAAGGTCTACGACTCTATGCTGGCGCTCCCGCAGGACCTACAAGCCGCCCGAGCCCTTATCGTCATCTCCATCCTGGTGGCAATCTTCGGTATCCTGCTGTCCATCGCCGGGGGGCGCTGCACGAACTGCATCGAGGAGGGACCGGCCAAGTCAAAGGTCGCCCTCGTAGCGGGCATCTTCTTCATCGGCAGCGGTATCCTCTGCCTCATACCCGTTTGCTGGTCAGCCAACACCACCATCAGGGACTTCTACAACCCCATGGTGACGGACGCTCAGAGGCGAGAGCTCGGCGCCTCGCTGTTCATCGGCTGGGGGGCGTCGGGTCTCCTGCTCTTGGGCGGGGGGCTCCTCTGCTGCCAGTGTCCCCAGAAGGACAGCCGGCCGTACACAGCCAAGTACTCCGCCGCTCGGTCGAATTCCGGAGCCTACGTCTAGGTGGACGGACTTGCGTGACTGATCACCCACCCGCTGGGCCAAAACGGGTCGGGTTGCGTTTCCGTCGCTCTGGAAACTGCATTTACTTTTTTATACATATATCGACTTGTAACTTTTTAGCCTAATAAATTTTTTTAACTTATGTCTTTGGTGCTTTGTGGTCCCTGTTCTCGATGCGAAGACAAATGCGTTCTTTCACTGGTTCTGCTTGGCTAACTGCCCTCCCCATGCATCCTGAAGAGGGCGCTCGCGTATCATAGGTTATCCCTTGGTCATAGTGACTCATTGCTTCCGTTCAGTACTCTCTTTCCTTTCACGTTCAGTTTCCGAATGTTCCTGAGGCTAAACTAAAGATGTTAGATCTCTGATGCTGTTTGAAACATTTCATTGTTATATTGGGATTTGCTTTGGATTTAACATGGTTAAAAATGGTTCTCAATGCGTATGAAACACCCTTTGTCTCCGGTCGTGCTCATCCCCAAGGGCAGTATTTTGAAGTCCAACAACTTGATCTCAGGGGCCTCCTGAGCTTGTATACTGTAACAAACTACTTGTCCTAAACCTCAGGCCAGGATGCTGTGATTTAGCAGGGTAATCCTGTCTTGGTAAATCTGAAACGTTTCACAGCATTCAGGCTTTCCTTTAATACTACTCATTATACTGGACTGAGAAGCCCTCCGCCTTTAATCCTGGTGCTTTGTGCTGCTGATGCCGGCAGGTGGCGTAGCTGCACCTATTCCTTTGGAGCTGATGTATCACAAAACCATACATTCTGCTAGATTACATTAGGGTGCTGTTCAGAGCCGGTGTCTGGTTGAATTAAGGGTCCTAGAGCACTTGCATGTTTTATCTACATTGTCCAAAAAATGGAAGCAGCCCTGAGACAATTGTTCCCCAATTTAGAAATGCCAATATTGTACCCCCAATTTTCCAATAGTGTTCCTTAGTCTATTTTTGTACCTTAGATTAGTTTAAAGGTAAATTTGCCTACAGCTAGACCCTTGAGAGTACAGCCCCAGTGACAAGTGATTGTACCCTCAAAAGTACAAACTGGTACTTTTTTCTAATGGTGCAGTTATTGACTGTGCCTAAATCCAGTTATCTATATGATCAGGTTCAGCACAGTTCAAATGGTTTCCCCTATGTGAGTCACACTATACAGTGGTTTCGGCTGCACTGTTTACTTAATGTTCTGGTTTGCAGGGGAATGACTGAGGGCATGATAATCATATGGAAATTTAAACCAGTAAAGTGATTTAGCTTAAACCGGTGGGGGGACTGGCACGCGATAAACAAACCCGTGTTGGTTTCTCCCAGTTTTATTGTGAGGTTCTCACGACCTGCTGGGTATTTATGTAAGAGCGTATCGAGCATTCGGAGAGATAAGGGACTTTTTCTGAAAAGGGACTCACAGGTTGTTGTCCTAAAAACCAGTTCCTTGACTGCAGAGGAATCCGGTCCAGCAGGATGTGAACCGCTCACATGACCTCAGTAAGCCCCTCCCCAGGAATTCTGGTTAACCTGAAGGTCTGCATTCTGGGGACAGCAGTGCAGAGCGACTTGCCGGCTGGAAGTCTCGGTGACTGTGCTCCTGCGTCCCCCTGAATAGACGGCATCGGCATGGGACGTGTGGGCAAGGAGATCGCAGGCCAGGTGATCTGCTTCTTCGGTTTCGTGGGAATGTGTCTCACCTGCGGTCTGCCCATGTGGAGGGTGACCAGCTACGTGGGCGCCAACATCGTCACGGGCCAGATCGTCTGGGACGGCTTGTGGATGAACTGCGTGATGCAGGCCACCGGCCAGATGCAGTGCTCCATCGAGGACTCCATCATGAGCCTGACCCCGGACCTGCAGGCCGCCCGGGCGCTCATAGTCATCTCCATGCTCATCGCCTTCCTCGGCTTCGCCCTCAGCTTCCTCGGGGCCCAGTGCACCAGCTGCCTGAAGAAGGAGTCATCTCAGGCTAAGGTAGTCATCCTTTCCGGGGTCTTTGCCCTCATCGCGGGCGTCATCTGCCTGATCCCTACCTGCTGGTCTGCTGTCACCACCGTTTCTGACTTCCAAAGCACCATGGTCATCCAGCTGCAGAAGAGGGAGATTGGGGCCGCCGTGTACATCGGCTGGGGGGCTGCTGGTCTGCTTCTCGTCGGGGGCTCCTTCCTCTGTTCATCCTGCCCTCCGCAGCAGCCAGTGTACAAGTACCCGATGTACCCTGCTATGTACCAGGCCTATCCGGGATCTGTCTACAGTGGGAGCTACGTGCCGAACAGGGCCTACTACTCACCTGCTCAGTATGTGCCCAACAAATCTGTAGTAGCTGCCCCAAGACCACATGCACAAGAAGAATATTTATAACGGATTAAGGACCAAAGAAGGACAGCTGTTTTGGCATGGACCCGTGCTCCTCTGCTTTTATATCCTGATTTAAGTCTTCACTCCATTTTAATACCCAGTAAATCAGAAAATAATGTGTATTTAGAATAGAATTGTCATTAAACATGTACAGTGAAACTTTTTTAAAATGTGTAATTACTGTGTCACCTTCATTACGAATCTGACATTAAACTCTTTTTCACGATCTTGTATGCTGTCAGTGTCCCGCTGTTTTTCAGGGATTATGTCGTGTGCTTTAGAAGGATAACATTTTACGAGGGTGTAAAATGTCTTTTATTTTGGTTAGGCTCCCTCGTTAAACATACGTTAATTAAAATGTAATTACTGTAATGTATAATTACTGTTTTATTTATGTATCTGTTTTTAAATAAAATATTTGTAGCTGTAAATATGAGGTTTTTGATTATTTGAGATTCACTTGGAGGGAGATAAGCGTCTTAGGTGTATTTTTTTATGTATTATTTTTTGGAAAATTCCAATATCAGCATTTGTTTCCAACATGAAGTGATCCCAGGGATTGTGCGAATGACAGAGACGTCACCAGCACCACAGCTGCTATGCTGCTTCCTGAATTCACTTCGCTTTGTTCTTCTTGAATGTGAGATTTTGATTGGTGGGCGCATGTCTGCTAAAGCGCAGAGTCCCCTCCCCATCTGCTGCGTCCTCCTCACTGGAGCTGCCACTGAAGCGATGCTGATCTCACTGAAACCAAGTCGCATTCCTATGCCCCAAAGTGCAAAAATCTCACCTGGCTGGAAGTGAGGTGTGCAGCAGTGGGAGCTGGGTGGGTCGGTGCGATAGCTCCGCCCACTGAGTAGTCGCTAGGTAAAAGGTCCCCGGCTGGCGGCTGAGATTTGGCTCTCCGCTGCAGCTGAAGGGCCTCGCCTGACGTCCCTGCCCGCAGTGACCTGAGCGGCCGGCGGGCATTACGATGGTGTCCATGGGCAGGCAGGTGCTGGGCCTCGCCCTGGGCATTTTCGGCTGTTTCGGAACCATCGCCGCGTGTGCTTTGCCGATGTGGAAAGTGACAGCCTTCGTCGGGGCCAACATCGTGGTGGCGCAGGTCATCTGGGAGGGCATCTGGATGACCTGCGTGGTGCAGAGCACCGGGCAGATGCAGTGTAAGGTCTACGACTCCATGCTGGCTCTGCCGCGGGATCTGCAGGCGGCCCGCGCCCTCACCGTCGTCTCCATCCTGGTGGGCGTCATCGGCATCCTGCTGGCCTTCTTCGTCGGGAAGTGGTCCACCGTGGTGAGAGACGAGATCTCGCAGGCCAAACTGGCCATCGTGAGCGGCGTCCTGCTGGTCGCGGCCGGGGTCCTCTGCCTGGTCCCTGTGTGCTGGTCGACCCACACCATCATCCGGAATTTCTACAACCCGCTGTTAAGCAACGCTCAGCGGAGGGAGCTGGGCCCGTGTCTCTACATAGGCTGGGGGGCCGCCACTCTTCATATCTTTGGGGGGACTCTTCTCTGTAGCTCATGTCCGCCCCACGATGAAACACGGTATAATATTGGTGAGCCCCCATTCAATTCCTACTTTCCTGGGAGGGACGCCCACAGATACAGGTGAAGCGACATTATATCAGCAATTAGCACCTCTGTTTAATTGTAGAACAAAGTATATAGCATTACATTTCCTTGTGATGTGGAAAAAAGAGAGAGAGAGAGAGAGAGACAGAAGCCCCTCCTGGTCACTGGCAACCCTGGAGAGGCGCTTCAATAGTTTAAATGTTAAATCTAACGATAGCTGAAATCATGTTATTATGTGATGTGACACTGCAGAATCTGAGAACATTTCATTGTTAAGACTGAATTATATTCACTTGTATAATTTTTTTGTTGCAGCATTTTTCAAAGTGGTCATGCATTTCAAATGTGTTTGATTATGCAGTTGTATGTCATTGTTGGATGGATGGATGGATTTTTGTGATGCAAATTCAACTATTAACATTTCTTATCGTGCTGCTGATATTTTTCCAAGCTTCTACAATCAGCCACCCTGTATTTTGCAATCTTGCATTATTTTAATAAAAGGTCTTGCCTATTACCCAGTCGCCCCGTGTCTGTTGCGCAATTATCAGCGCTGCGGCTGGTCTGGGGTCAGTCGTAGACAGCCCCCTGTCCAGCTCAGCATTACCCTATTAATGGTGATTATATTTCACTGGGGGTGGTGTGGGTTAAACATTTCCGTGGGTGAGGAATGATTAAATTGGGCTTCAGACCGGAATTTGCCACTTGAGCGAATTACGCAGAACAATTTGGAAGGGAGGTATATTTTCAAAGGGGATGGTTTTTGTAATTTCTTTCCCGCGGGGGTGGAGTCCACGTGCACGCCATTACAGCTCGAGCCGCGATTATAACCCCGTGGATAAAATATCTTCATCTGGTGTAACATTCACTGCACCATTTAGCTGCCCATGAAAAGGCCTTTACTCCAAGGAACAAACGTACACCAGCACAAACGGAAGTGCTGAGGTGCGCGGTCCTACTGTCCGATGTCCACATAGGGCTCCATTACCTGCACAAACCAGTCATTCCACCTGGTAGGGTTTCACTGACCTCCTTTGAACACAATACTGACAATGTGCTATTATGTATATTTATTGCTACCATTTAGTTACTATTACTGGGTTAGGCACCATACAGAAGACTACTAATGACACCGGATAGAGTCCAGAAACAGAAAACATTTAATTTGCAGGAATTGTTACTATGTTGTCTGGTCTCTGGTTTCTTTAGAAAAGTGAGTGTTGGAGGTTTAACCCGAATACCAGTGACATGGCAGTTTGAGATCTGGTCCAATGTGTGGCCTCTGAAACTTTCTCACGGGTCTTTGGGTCGGTCCATCACAGTGAAAGACTCATATGGTATAAAAACAGGGGGGGGGGGTGAGGCAAAAATCGAGGCTGAAAAAAATCACCTTGAAAAATTATCTTTATGCAAAGACCTTCTCATGCTGGTGCAGAAGAATCCGGCAGAGCAGGTATTCTTTGGCTCTGCTTTTTGTTTGCCGTGGCACCTGAACGCCTCCCCCTTTCAGAGGCATAAAAGCTCAGTTTCCGTAGCTGGGGTAGGACCGGCACTACAGGGAAAGACGAGAAACGCCAAGGGAGGTACAGCCAGGAGCGAGCTGCTGGTATCCACCATGCAGTCCACTGGGATGCAGATTCTGGGAATCAGCCTGGCCATACTGGGCTGGGTGGGAGTGATCATCACCTGCGCCCTGCCCATGTGGAAGGTGTCGGCCTTCACCGGCGTCAACATTGTGACGGCCCACATCATCTGGGAGGGCATCTGGATGAGCTGCGTGGTGCAGAACAGTGGCCAGACCGAGTGCAAGGCCTACGACTCTATGCTGGCCCTGAGCTCTGACTTGCAGGCGGCACGGGCCCTCATCTGCATCGCCATGGTGACGGGCACCGCCGGACTCATCCTGACCGCTGTTGGGGGCAAGTGCACCAACATTGTTGCCGGGTCATCGCTGAAGGGAAAGGCGTCGAAGCTGGCCAGCCTGGTCCTCATCGCCACAGGCCTCCTCTGCCTGGTCCCCGTCTCCTGGACGGCCAGCTCCATCACAAAGGACTTTTACAATCCCATGCTGACGGACGCTCAGCGTAGGGAACTGGGGGCCTCGCTCTACATCGGATGGGGAGCCTCCATCCTCTTCATCCTGGGAGGGGTGCTGCTTTCCAACCCCTGTGCTCTGAAAAATGAGGAGAGTCTCTCTGGGAAGTACCTCATCGTGAGGTCATCCAGCGGGACCAGCAGGGTGGTCTCGGTGCGCAGCAGGTCTGTCTCCCAAAAGTCTTCCATCCCGATGAAGACCTACTTATGACGGAGAAGGGTGGATCAGGAGGGACTGCCGCTGGTTTTAGGGAGGTCTGTCTTTTTAACTGCCCTAAACCAGCATCCTCAGGTACAAACAAGTCACTTTGTATGCTCATGTACCTGTGGAAAGCCACACTTACGCTTGTGGGTGTTTGTTTCACCTATGCGCTGAAAAATATATTAAATATATTTTTATTTAATACAGGAAAGTCCATTTGTTAGCATGGCTTGCTTTTCGTTTCAGTGTTTGTTTTGTTTTTTTTTGCAATAAAAACTTGATAATAAATCTTAAGGTGACTTGTTTATGATTGATGGCACTGCAAGCTATCAGCGAACCTTGTGGCTCTTTTTCAGACAAAATAGTATTTAAATATTGAAAGAATATGTAGCACACCTTTCAAGAAACTCCTCTACGTGTCTGGTGCCTCATTACATTCCCTGAAACGTTCTTAATATTGCACTTTGAGCCATTTAATCAGCTTATTAGGTTCTTGCTTTGTTTGCAGTCGTTGTGTTGCTCCCGCTCTGATCCTGCTCACACCTGTACCTGAGCATTGACTGGAAGCTCAGCCTAGGCACTTATGCCTAGTTGACTCCTTACTTGCATGAATGTCTGTAATGAGCTATTTGCCTCACCTTAATGTTGCTTTGGACAAAAGCGTTGGCTAAATATGGAATATGCAAAAAAAAATTGTGTCAACAAAATGCTATGTGTGATCCGTGTCCAGGGAATACAACAAAACTTTTTGAAGTACTAGTTCCTGGAGTACTCAAGGGCTCCACCTGCTGTCGAAGAGATGAAACAATGTTTTCTTTTTCCATTGTTTGAGTCACTGAGGCGTTTCTCTACCAATATGAGGATTTTGCTGAAGACTTCTTTTGGCTGGAGTTGGTTTATTATCTATTGTCCCAGCTGCAGTTTATGATTTTGTGGTTAAATGCTTAGAAATTAGAAGCCAAACATCAACATTAATCCACTTTCTATAACTGCTTGTCCTATTCTGGGTGGCAGGGGGCCTAGAGTGTATGAACACAAGGCAGGGAACAGCCCAGGGTGGCGGGTCAACACATTGCAGGGCACGTGTATGAACACAAGGCAGGGAACAGCCCAGGGTGGCGGGTCAACACATTGCAGGGCACAGACACAAGCAGCACTCACACACCAACAGGCAATCTGGTAACTCCAATTCACAGCACCTTTTTGGGCTGGGGGGGGGGGGAACCCAGAGGAAACCCCACAACGATACGGGGAGAACATGCAAACTCCACACACATGGAACCCTGGTGGAGACTCAAATCCAGGTCCCAGAGGTATGAAGCGACAGTGCTACCCACCGCCCCCCCCTGCCGCCTCACATGTTAACATATGGGCTACATATGGGGGCAGTTTGAGGCTCCATGGGTTCGGCTGCAGTCCCTGTAGTTGAAATTCCGTGGTTCAGGTCCCATGGCCAACTGGGTGATTTCAGCATTGGGCCCTCAAGCGAGGCCCCTAAATCTTACTGCCCCAGGGCCTGGTTGGACCTCTGTTCTCAACTGTATGTTGCCAGGGTTAATAATCAAAATTTAACAAGCGGAAGACACAAAACAACAAAGGACACTGAATTACATAATTAAGACTGTGTGATCTTTCATGAGTAACAATATAAACAGTCGGCAAGCAAACTGTACAGCTGCAACTTGTGTTTTATTTTGTGTTGTACTGCCACCTTGTGGTATAAAATATTTTTTCACCAAATATAAATTAATTCTGTTTTTAAGTGCTGAATGTACATTTGCAAAACATGCGAAAGAAGCCTGACATTCTTTGTTACTTGCCATTTATTTTCTTTAGTGTCTAAGGAAGGCAGCCATGGCACTGCAGACCTTGGGTATCACCTTGTCCATGGTTGGTTTGGCTGGCACCATCCTCATCTGCGCCCTGCCCATGTGGCGCGTGACGGCCTTCATCGGGACCAACATAGTGGTGGCGCAGGTCTTCTGGGAGGGCCTGTGGATGAACTGTGTGTATGAAAGCACGGGACAGATGCAGTGCAAGATCTACGATGCTCTGCTGGACCTGTCGGCTGACCTGCAGGCGGCTCGAGGCCTGGTGGTCATCGCCATTGTGCTGGCCTGCCTCGGCTTCCTCACCTTCCTGGTGGGGGCGCAGTGCACCAACTGCCTTGGAAACCCCAGGGCCAAAGCTCGGGTGGTGCTGGCCTCCGGGGTCACTTTCATCCTCTCAGGGCTCACCACCATCGTCCCGGTGTCCTGGACTGCGAACAGAATCATCCAGGACTTCCACAATCCCATGGTACCAGAGGCGCTGAAGAAGGAGCTGGGGGCGGCGCTCTATGTGGGCTGGGTCACCGCGGGCTTCCTGCTCTCCGGCGGAGCGGTTCTCTGCACCACCTGTCCTCCTGAGAAGTCGAACCACTCCATCCGCTACATGCTGGCAAACACACACAGCAGCATCCAGCCCAGCTACGCCGTGAAGAACTACGTGTGAGATTCACCTGCCGTGAGCGCACTGCAAACCAAACACCACGCATCCACCAAAAGACACTTAACTGACACTTTCAAAGTTGTTTCAGATGGTTTCTGTAGTTCAGTTAATCCGCTGTATGTGGAAAAAAAATGCTATGTAATTAAAATTGAAGATCCAAGATTGACAGTACCTGAAAATCAATTTCTACTTAACATATATAATAATGTATAAACAAATTGTACCTTATGTTTGTCGTGTCAAAGTTTATTTTTGGATTAAGAAATGTTTAGATACTGCTGCGTGCCTTTTTAATGTTTATGCAGGTTTTTACAAGAATAAATGCATTTCATAAATATCATGCTCTGTAAATCCATTTCCTGTATCCACTTCTCCTATTCAGGGTCGTTAGGGGTCTGGAGGTTAGGGGTGCAAAGCAACAAACAACCCAAGATGGGGCGCCAAGCCACTGAAGAGGCAATCTGGCACCTCCAATTAACCTCAGCGTGGCTGTTACACCTACAGGAACTTTTATGACATCCCATTCTAAATCCACAGGCATCAGTATGGAGTTGGTCCCCCCTTTGCAGCTGTAACAGCTGCCACTCATCTGGGAAGCCTTTCCACAAGATTTTGAAGCATGTCTGTTGGAATTTTTGCCCATTCATCCAAAAGAGCATTTGTGAGGTCAGGCACTGATGTTGGATGTGAAGGCCTGGCTCGCAATCTCCATTCTAGTTCATCCCAAAGGTGCTTGATTAGGCTGAGGTCAGGACTCTGTCCAGTCCAGTCAAGTTCTTCCACACCAAACTCACCCAACCATGTGCACTGGGGCACAGTTATGCTGGAACAGAGGGGCCTTCCCAAAACTGTTTCCACAAAGTTGGAAGCATATAATTGTCCAAAATGTCTTAGTATGCTGAAGCATGAGTTCCCTAGTCCAGCCCCTGAAAAACAACCACAAACCATTATCCCTCCTCCAGCAATCTTCACAGTTGGCATAATGCAGGCAGACAGGTAAAGTTCTCCTGGCATCCGCCAAACCCAGACTGCCAGACAGAGACGCGTGATTCGTCACTCCACAGAACACCTTTCCACTGCTCCAGAGTCCAGTGGCAGTGTGCTTTACACCACTCTGCAGTTACTGAGTCAACAAGGCATTGGTGACTTTTACACACTACGCATCTCAGCACTTGTGAACCCCACTCTGTTACTTCACGTGGTCTGTCACTTCATGGTTGAATTTCTGTTGTTCCTAAATGCTTCCAAAAAGAAATTTCACAAACTGACTTATTGCAGAGGTGGCATCTTATGACAGCACCACGCTCAAATTCACTGAGCTCTTCAGAATGACACATTCTTTCACAGATGTTTGTAAACCTGACTGCATGGCTAGGTGCTTAATTTTATACACCTGTGGCAATGGGTCTGAATGATGAAGTGATGAAGAGGTGATGAAGAGGTGAGTCCCAATATTTTTGTCCATATACAGCCATGGAAACAATTATGAGAAACCATTCTATATTTTTAAACACATCTGCATGTTTAAATCCTGATTAAATCCTGCTGGCAGAAGGCTATGCTGAGCAGGAGGTCAGGTTCAATATTTCAATACAGCAGCACACGCTGTATTCGCCTCTCAGCCGCACTTTTCCTCCGATTGATCTAACCACACACACACACACACACACACACATATATATATATATAGCTAAAAGGCATCATCGTCTTATCGTTCTGTACCACTCGTGGTAAACGCTGAAGGGGGCGCCTGAGTTCCATCTGGGGGGGCCCAGGATCACCGGAGCCAACCCGTGCCGCCGCGGTAGGCACTGACTGTTTCTGCGTGCTTATGTCTTCAAAGTGCCAACAGCACTGTTACTTTGCTAATTAATTTATGGTGTAGAATATCGAAAACATATGACTAAAACATCCGCCCATAATTAAACGCTTGACGTAAACGAGGATCTCCACAGACAACAAACGCGTTTGCAGCAGCGGAGAGTGACGCAGCGTGGAGGCTGACAGGCATGAAAAAACTTGCTTTCCATCTGGGCACAGAAAGACTTTTGTTTCCGCCTTCCTCTGTGTGAAAAAACTGGAGAAGGATTGTTATGCAAGTCTGCCAGGAGTCTCCACCCGGGGAGGAATGCAGCCGCGCCATTTGCTTGCTCTTCCCCAGCTTCAGACTCCCGGCGCAGCATGGAGAAGGTCGAGCTGGCCGCCTTCGGGCTCGGCGTCGCCGGCTGCTTCTTCGCTGTGGCGACCCGCTGCCTTCCCGTGTGGCAAGTGAGTGGCGAACTGGGCAACGTGACGGGGGCGCTGCCGGTGTACTGGGATGGGGTGTGGATGGACTGGGAGCATCACAGCTTGGGCGAACTGCGCTGCGCCTTTTACCAGTCTCTGCTGCCACTGGGGAAGCACTTTCGCTCTTGGCAGGCGCTGATCACCTCCTCTATCAGCTTCGGCATCGTCTCTGTCGCCATCTACGGCATCGGGCGGCTGAGGTTCCCCCAGTGGGTCCAGGTGAAGCCGGTGTCGGGGGCGGTCTTCCTCCTGTCGGCGGTGCTGCTTCTCATTCCGATGTCATGGACCACGCACGAGTCAGCGCAGACGCTGGGGAGCCTGCCGTCCCTCCGGAGGAAGGTGGGACAAGCCCTCTACGTCGGCTGGACGGCCACTGTCCTCTTTATTATCGGGGGGTGCTTCCTGTGCACCAGGTGCCCCAAAAGAAAACGACAGGAGGTTGTGGACTTACCTGATACCGGGGATCCCTTCTTAACTATCAACAGTGCCTCGTTCCGACCAGGACAACTACCGTGCGCTTAAAGACAGGTGAATTACTCTTACAGAGATCAGATTTAATAATAATAACCTGGGGACTCTGTATATGTCTTAAGGAGTTTGATGAACTCCTAACATTACAGCCACTGACGAATTATTACGGGTTTGTATTTACCAATGGTACTCGTTGTTCACAACAGAAGTCGCCTGTGTTTACTGACCAGGGATGCTTATTGAATTTCTGCAATAAAATGTAAATGATGTGAATAGACATGATAATAATTATGTATTTTCAATGCATTTTTCACCTTTTTCCCCCACTAATTTACACACGTGGACAATGTATTTTTATATTTATAAAAAATATTGTATGTTGTTGATGTGACCCTGTTTAAGACGAATAGATTGACGGATCTTGAATTGTTTCACACGGTTGCCTTCCATTCAAAAAGAAGTTTGCCATTTTGTTTCCAGAAAATAAACCAGGTTTACATACCTATCTACGCCATGATTTTCCATAACCTGTTACCCAATGCAGGAGCAAGGGGCTTTGGAAATGCAAAGTCTGCACTCAGCGTGATACTGACACATCGAAGATTGTTGACTTAATGTCTATGCCGACCAATTGATGGTCGGCATAGACATTAAACTGATAACTTGGCTTTAAATGGATTTTGTAGGCATCTTGCTTTGATGGAGCAGATATCACGGTGCCTAAATAGATGGACATCCAGAGATGGGTCCTGCTGTTGTACACTAAGGAAGGGTAATTATCCTGAACGGTATGGTTTTGGTTCAACTCTGTGGTTCATTACTCAGAACTCAGAACATTTTATGTGAACATACCAGAATTGGTTGTGGTTCAATGGAAACAATGACAAGGACATCAGTCCTTGGAGGAAATGCAATAAGAGCCTTATGGTGACATCACTCTGCCAGGCAAGGGATTTGAACCTACGACCATCCGGTCACTGACATAGAGGCCTAACCAGCAGAGCCTCACACACACCCCCAAAACTGGGCTTTGGGCACTGCATCCGGATGTTAGGCAGCACCCCTGTTGGTGGAATCAGAAGAGGGCGCCACCAGTCCTCTCATGCACCTGTCAGAGCGGAAGCAGGTAGAATGCAGCAGCGCACATTTGCCATCTGGGTTACTGAAAACGGCCAGGCAGCAGCTCACTTCGGAGGCTTCAGGTGTGTGAGATTCAGGTGCTGCTCTTTGCGTGGAGTATGTGCGTCTGCATGTCCAAGCCAGTACAGGTCTCACCTTGCATGTGTGTGTGTGCATTACTAGGGACAGTATCCTAGCCCTATGCATCCTCAGCTCAATGCCTGACTATCCCTTTCCTGGTTGGATGCACAGTTACTAACAGGTGGACACTATGAAAACTCTACATAAGTTGCTGTTTTTTGGAGGAGTGAGCTGAACTGGGCCGGCCTGCTCCTGTTTGTCAGATACCTCACGGGCATGTAGCAGGTAACATGGTCTCCACCCTAACCTCTTGTCTCCATGGCAGCCACACATGGCACACCTACGCCTCCTCTGGGATGTGCTCCAGGCATGTTCCACATTCTCTGTTGTCACGGCTGTTGCACAGAACTTCCCTTCATCCACAGGAATCCACAGGCATCTGGTTATGTCAACTTGTTCCAGCAGGTTGCAAAGCGATGGTAACAATCTGTTTTGTGTTTATGGGCCTGTTCACAAACTTATAACAAAGACATGACAAAGCATAATGCACAGTCCTGTGACCCATGGCAACATGCTTCTCAGTATGAGAGGTTAGCAGGTAAAGTGGAAAGAAAAGAGGATATCTTTATGTCTTTTCAAAAGAAAAACAGCATGACTCACCAGTCACATGCTAAACATACTGACAGTTTGCACAGAAGTGCTTAAATATTTCTCTACACTGGAATATTAAAAAAAATTCAGACATAAGTTCATTATTTCAGTCAATATACAAAACTTAATATGCATTTTTATTAGTCTTCAATGTTAAATACACTCAGTTTTTCCATTTTCATTACAAGTTTTACATTTTGGATAATTTAGGCTTATTTAGTGCTTAGTTATACAGGCATCAGCAGTCTTATACGATGCTGCTGACATATCATTCAGTAACACCCAAGTTAAAAGTGAGGCTACAGAGAATCGTATATCTGTTGGCATTGAAATATGAGAAAACTGACAGATAATATTTTTAAGAAATGCCCAATAATTTGTGGTTAATTTGCAGCAGAGTACTGGCTCCCCAAAACCTTCCTGAAGCCACAAATACCCACTGAGTATAAGTCTGAGAGGATTTTAAATTAACATGACACTTGATTCCTTTAAACCAGAACCTTTCAGAGTTTTTACCTCAAGACAAAAAGCTTTAAACACAAACACTGATTGCAAAAAAGAGGCTCTTTAGACTATTCCATTATAAAATGGATCCATTCATAAAACAGAGCAGGAGCATTCTGAAGATCTGCTTGGTTGCCATAGTGTTGGGGGCCGTGTGACAAATGGGTCGCTACTCCAACTTCTCATCGCCCTCCTCCACGTCTTTCAGACTCAGCACCTCCAGAGAGCCCCGCCCCTTCGTCTCACAGCGAATCAGCTCGTCGATCTCCCGGAAGCAGCCGGGGTCTATCAGGCACACCTGCGGGCAATGGGAGGCTGCTGTGAGCTCAGAGGAAACCGCAGATTTAGATGGGGGGGGTGGGCGGAGCCTCACCATCTCCAGCTGCTCATCGAAGTCCTCGCTCTCCACCACCTTCAGGAGGGGCTTCAGCTTATCTTTCAGCTTCTTCCCCTCCTTGGCAGGTAGGATGAGGCGCAGTCGCATGTGGGCTCGCTGGATCTGCATCGACTCCTTCAGCTGCCTGATCACATCCAGTGCCTGCCGTGATACATGCTGACATCACTTACGGGAATTTGTTTGGCAAAGAGACTCACAGGTCCAGAAGAGATACGTGCTTAAACACCCCAATGCAGTACGCCGATGCCAGTGTGTAATCAGCAAGCGCACCAGGTGCTGTGCAGTATCACTGGTACCTATGCAAGATATTAACAATTACACTCTATGGCAGTGGTTCCCAACCCAGTCCTCAGGGACCCCAGCCAGTCCACATTTTTGCTCCCTCCCAGCTCCCAACACCTGTATCAGGTGTATGGTGTTCTTGATTGGCTGGGAGCTGGGAGGGAGCAAAAATGTGGACTGGCTGGGGTCCCTGAGGACTAGGTTGGGAACCACTGCTCTTTGGGAACAACACAGCATAAAGCACAGGGTTTCAATAACGTTTAGGGAATGTTACAGATAAATGGTGGCACTTGGGCCAATCCAGTACAAATAACCCACAACGGAGCCAAAAATAAAACATACTCATCCATCAATCATATGAGTACATATTAAAATTATTCATATTAAAAGCAAAATAAGGGAAACCCAATGGATTATTATTAGGAAATGAGGTTCCTCTGGTCAACAGTATCTGTGTGGCAGACCTGCTGCTTCGTGCTCTTGTTGGCCTTCACAGAGTAATGGATGTCTTTCATGGCCTTCTCAATCAGGCTGACGGTGTACGGCCGCTTGGTCTCAGGGTTCACACACTTCTCCGCAACAATGGTTGCGATGTCCCTGAACATCTGCTCCAGCTGGCTCTGCCTCTCCTTGTCTGACACCTGCAGCTCGCCCTTGGCTAAGATCTGACGAAAAGGGGGGCAGCTTTCTGTTGTCAAATCACAAACGTGAGTAAGGAGCTTCAAAACACATGCATTTAGGTAGTGAGGAGATATTGACCTGTTTACATATTTCTGTCAAATCGTCGGTCCCAAAGGCTTTTGACAAGTCCTCCTTCTTTGCTACTTGGCCCTTTGAAACATTTATGAAAACTGTGTTGGTCTGTAGGACTTCGTCAAGATCCTTCTCTCTGAGTACGGAGGAAAAAGTTATTGTCACGTCAGACGTCATACTACGCCATAGCTGCATGACGTAGGTTTAAAATGAACTACAGCGGGCAGTTAAAATATATTTGTTAAAAAGAAGATTATTCGGTCAAATTCAGTAACAAACGCCTGTGTTAAACCGCGTCTAACCAGCATCTCCAATAATACAGCACTGACACGTATTGAAATCAAACTAACTGGTTACTACATAACCGTTTAATTATGGAGCAGGTATGAAAATGACGCCGTTTGTTCAAATATCCAGCTGCTGTACTTACGCCCCAGATCTCCAGCTCATGACTTTATTTTTATAGCAGGCGATCTCAAATCTCTTCCCCCCCTTTTTCATTCTCACGACGGCTACGTTCGTGAGCCGGATTTGGTTTGTTGGCGTGAATATTGACATCTGTAGATTGTTCTGTAAATGTTAAATTAAGTAAGTCTAAATACGCAGTAGACTAATTCTCCTACCAGCGTTGTGATCGCTGTGCGTCGCATTAAAGGTCCGGACTGCAAAGGAGGCAAAACCATAAGGGCCCGGACTGTTACGGTTCCGAACGGGAGAGCCATTACTACGTGAAATATTTAGTCTCATAATGATTTAACTGAAAATGGGATCACCGATTATACATTTTATGCATATTTAATACACTTAAGTACAGTGAAAAACAACGTAACTAAAACTAAACACTCGCAACAAATGATGCCAAAATGAAAGCCAAACATAAAAATGTGCTACAATATACGTATGCATACGTATAAAATTTATTTTGATGTTAGGTAATTTATGAAAACCTCGTCTAAATGTATAATTTCAGATTATTATTGGAAAACAACTCCCCGTAGACATGTTGAGTTAGGTGCACTGGAACACACTATTATTTCACAAGTGTATCATATGATTTCTGCCTTAACTTTTTACATTACTTTACAATAAGGTAGCATCATACAAAAAAAAGCACTTTAACACTGAGTCCCCTTAAAAATCCGCGCACGGTGCGTTTAAAGTGCTTTCCCATAATGCACCGCTCCCTGAGCCAGTATGGCCGAACCGGGTAAACGTGCTTCTTAACTTCTACTTTTGTTTTTCGCGTTGTACCTCGTTGCTTTGGTACACTTGAGTCGGTAAGGCACGAAACGTCTTCGACGATGATGTTTTTCTCTGTCTGGTGTTTTCTGTGCATCATTGCAGGCGCTTTCGGCGCCGAAGTGGAAGGTAAGTGCGAGTCAGCGTGTCCGGCGTGTTTGTTGTTGTTGTGTGTTTGTTTGCTTGTCATTTGCTCACTGAGCCCGGAGGGTAACAGATTACCTGGAAACCGCCATCCAGTGTGTCACAGGTAACCAGGCGCGGGATATCCTGACTTCCGAGATTAACCAGATGACCAATTAACCATATTTTAAGAGCCATCGCAGGCACATCGTACACTTTCTCGTTCCAAGTCCGTGTTTCTCATTTCGCTGACCAGCCATTTTCATATACTGTACTGTATTTTGTGTTTTTGCAGATGTCTCCGAGGACCAGTGGGACTACTCGGGGTACTTGATGTCAGTATGGAAAAACAGACTGTACATGTACTCGGCTGCAGCAGTCTTCCTTGGGGTCTGGTTCACGCTAAAGATGGCGAAGAAAAAAGTAAGGGATTTATAATATAATATTATCCCTTATAATAAATGGTGACGACTGATTGTGGTGTTAATGATGCTCGTATTTGATATACATTTAAAGTTAAATGCAAGTTTGCTTACCTGTATAAAAACCAGCTGCGGCGTCATAATACGACAAATCTTTATTTCGAGCTGTATTTATTATTCATTTTGCCCTGCTTAATTTGTAAAAAGTAAAAAAAAAAAAACAAAAACAAATATGGCTTTTTTTGGGAATTTTGCCTTCAGACCTTGGTAGCTGGCACTTTCGTGTTTGATTTTTGGGGGCTTGTTCCTCTGGTCCCGGCAGACCGCATCTGGCCAGCATGCAGATGCTGGAATCAGCAAAACGGCAAAAGAGGGAGGATATTCCGCTGTAAAGGAGAAGAGAAAGGTTCATGTGTCAGGGGTGAAGATTTTCTACGGATCACAGACTGGAACGGCGAAGGTAGGAAGCTTTGTGAATTCCTGTGCTTTTTGATTAACTGTCAGATGTGTTCACATCCTTAGCAGGTGACATGCCGCGTTAAAAGTGCATATTAAGGATGAGCACAGCGCCACTTAACCTTCTGATGAGAGTTTAAGCAGTCTGATGAAATAATTGGTAACTTTTTTTGCCCCATGCAAGGATGCTGTAATTTGTGATGTAATGCTTGATCATAGATGTGCCACTGTTTTTATGAGAAAAGTCAGTTTAAAATGAACTATATCATTCAATACGGTGGATTTAGTTGACTTTCTCTGGAATGCAGGCAACCGATGGATTGATTGTTCTGCAACTGAAGCATTTACATCCAGGGCTGTGTTAAAAATGGCAGATCTTTCAAGAGGAGTCAGTTTAATGTATATCCACTGAATGTGTGCAGGTTGCAGCTTTCAGTCCGTCTGATTCTGAAATTGAGGGAGGTTTGCACGGTGCCCATCTGGCGCGGCCGTTTGCACGATGCCCATCTGGCGCGGCCGTTTGCACGATGCCCATCTGGCGCGGCCGTTTGCACGATGCCCATCTGGCGCGGCCGTTTGCACGATGCCCATCTGGAACGGCCCTCATTGGTATGTGAGTCTGTGGGCTTGTCTCTGCTCAGGGATTTGCCGTGGATCTGGCCAAGGAAGTCCAGGCCCTGGGCCTCACGGCGGAGGTGATTGACATGAAGGAGTACGACCCAGAGGACAGCCTGTCTGAGGAGGTGAGCTCTGATTGGCCAAGCAGCCTCCGGTTTCCACTATTGCTGCTGCACTAAGGAACCACATGGCTAATGGGGCGCAAGGAGCAGCAGCAGGGCAGTGGACCCTCCCGGGGGGGAACGTCTCGATTTTGCGTGAAATGCGTGTGTGATGGGAAGCAGCGTTCGCCTGACTCTCCCCTGTAGGGGGCACTGTGTGCCTCACGGTTTAGGGCTCTGTGCCTGTGATTGGAAGGCTGCTGGCTGAAGTTCCATTGGGTCCCTGAGTGAGACCCTTTGCCCCAGTTGCTGTATAGGGACCGTCTGACCCTGCTCTCTCACTTACACCAGGACTGCTAAATGAGTCTAGTGAAGATCTGTGGTGGGCTGATGTGGTCTCCACACACTATGCTCCGTGGCTGTCTCTGTCTGTGGAGCTGTTCTCCTAACACCCTGTGAACCCCCCCCCCCCAGTGTACCAGTAAATCCATCTGCGTATTCCTACTGGCCACCTACACGGATGGGAAGCCCACAGAGAACGCGGAGTGGTTCTGCAAGTGGGTGGAGGAGGCATCCATGGATTTCCGCTATGGAAAGACCTACCTGAAGGGCATGCGCTTTGCTGTCTTTGGGCTGGGGAATTCCGTGTACGAGGGACACTACAACACGGTGAGGAGGAGCCTCATCTTCCCTGTCACCCTGTCTCTGTCACCCTGTCTCTGTCACCCTGTCGCTGTCGCCCTGTCTCTGTCTCTGTCACCCTGTCTCTGTCACCCTGTCCCCCCTGTCCCCCCTGTCCTCCCTGTCCCCCTGTCACCCTGTCCCCCTTGTCTCCCTGTCCCTGTCTGGCACTGTGTCTGCATGTTTGGGTCTGTGTCTCTCTCTGTGTCTTTGTCTCTGTGTTTGCCCCTGTCTCTATGTGTCTCTGTCTGCCTGTCTCTGTGTGTGTGTTTGGGTCTGTGTTTGTCTGTCTGTCTCTCTGCTCGTCTGTGTCTCTGTCCGTGTGAGTTTTTGGGTCTCTGTGTCTGTCTCTGTGTGTTTGGGTCTGTGTCTCTTTGTCTGTGTGTGCACAATTAGCAGCCTGACAGATGGTTTTATCAAAAATGTTTTTATTTCTCAAGCTGCTATTCCGCCAGGTTCAGGGTATGACCTCAGCTGGGTCCCACTTGGGCCTGATGTCATGACCTCTTGCTTGTGCCGCCTTGTGCCAGGTGGGTAAGCACGTGGACCGGTGGCTGTGGATGCTGAGTGCCACGCGGGTGCTGTCACGCGGGGAGGGCGACGGCAACGTGGTGAGGAGCCGACACGGCAGCCTGCAGGCCGACTTCCTCAGCTGGCGGAGCCGCTTCCTGAAGAGGCTGCAGGCCCTGGCCAGGGGCGAGAAGAAGGCCTGCGGGGGCAAGTGCAAGAAGGGCACCTGCAAGAAGCACAAGGGGGCGCAAGAGCAGTCGGAGCCTGGCAGTGAGGGGGCGGAGCACCAGAGCTCCGAGGCAAGGCAGCCTGTAAACCATGTGGCTTTGATGTGGAGACTCTATGTTGATTTCATATTGAATACTGGCCTAAAAATGTTTCGGTCAAACCCCCAGTGTGATTTATTTGAAGCCATGTCACACTTAGTCATCTGTATAGATCTGCTTCATCTGTATAGATCTGCTTCATCTGTATAGATCTGCTTCAGCTCGCTGGCTCCCAAGTGGTGGGGTGGACTTTGACGGCCTGTGTGTGATTGCAGGAGTCCAGCAGTGATACGGGATCAGCCACGGATGAGGAGACGGCCAGCCGCTTGGTGGTGGATGTGGAGGACCTGGGGGTGGTGATGAGCCGCGTGAAGAAAGCAAAGGTGAGTGTGTGTGTGTGTTTGTGCCTCAGAAGCTGAGGTGCCTGGATGAAAGGGCTGCATTTCCTTGAGGGTAGGGGGGGGGGGTCACAGATGGTCTGGCCGTCTGTGTCTGCAGCCAGCCTGCTTCGCGATTTGCATAATTGTCGGGCATAATTACTGACTCCCGCTGCAAGCCAGGGCGGAGCGGTGATTCATGGGAAGGGACAGACCCCCTGTGATGTGCTGAGCTGGACTGAACACTGACCTTCAGCGCCCCCCCCCACCCCATAGGCTAAATATTTTATGTTTAATGCTGAGAAGGCTGCAAAATCTTACTGTGCTGGGCGTGGCTGTCTTCTCCAGCCTTAGTGGCCGGTAGTGACAGACTGCGGCCAGTCACCTCACTGACCAGAGCATAGCTATCCACCCCACCCCGTGACATTTTGGGACCTCCCTGTAGTCAGGAGCACTCTGTCCCCAGACCCTACCCTGATATACCTTCCCAGGGTAGATAATATGGCGAGTCAGGGAGCTCTGTCAGGGTATTTATCTGCCAGTCATGGGGGGACATGGCTGCCAGCCGCTAGGACCTCAGCTGACGATCACCAAACCCAGGATAGCGGCTTTGGTTTCCTTTCCTGGGAATGTGATAAATTGTTAGTTGCAGTTAGTCCCTGTTGAAATGGCGGGGAAGCTATTCGGTGAAATTGAGCTCTCTGTATGGGCTGTATGTCAGCCATCGCCTCTAGTAGTGTCCATGTGTTCCAGCACAAATTTTCTCAATCGACGGGACCCGACGGGCTGTCGGCCTTGTGTAGCGCCAGTTTTTTGCTGTCAGCTTGGTGAGTACCCAGCTTTACCCCAAGCACCTCCACTTCATTCTTGTTTGTGGGCTTCTGCGTTTACTGTGTCTGGCGAATAACTAATGCTTATAATGACAGGAAGAGTGCAGGGCAGGTTCCGTGTCTAATGGGCGGAGTTTACAGCAATTCTCTGCTCCACCTCCAGAGGGCGCCAGTCATACACTTTTTAAAATCTTGTCTACTGCTGCTTGCTTGTCTCTCTGTAGATGACATTTTTCTTTTGCCCTTCTCCTCACACATTATGAGACTGTGATAGGGCTTTAAATTTGAACGACTGGGTTTTCTTTGTTATGAAATTTGATAGCGTAATTTAATTGGAGTGCTGTAATAGTTTGAAATCTGTCTCTGGAGTTGGTAGCCTGGACATGACCTGAGTGCTCTGTGCTGATATACGCTGCATTTAGGGCCGTTATATTCTAATAGTCCCTGTAATGGCGTGATCCTATTCAAACGTTAACATTGTCTTTGCTCCTCTTTAAACAAAGGTGTTAATTACTATTAGTTGTTTATTGTTGAAATGTTACAAGTGCGTATTAATGTATCGCATTTGGCCATCTGTGCAACAAACAGAATAAATTAGTATCAAGCCTTGTTTAGATTAATCAGGACTGTAATTGCGTAATTATCCGAGGACTTGAAAGACTGGAATGCAATTGAAAATAACGAATGTGCTCGGCATAACGTGATTTGAATCATGAGTTTCCTACCACAGGCTAATTAAGTGTAAATCTGAGGACAGTGTTCCCAAAGCCAAGGAGGTTGTCTCCTGATGCCTTATTTTTAATTTTTCTCTTTTTCAAATCCATCGCCTGTAGGTGATTAGATTTATATGAAATGAAATCAGCACGTTGGCGTCCTGCTGAGTTATTATTGGTTAAGTGGCTGCCTACATAGATCCGCGAGGTATTTCAGTGCCCTGTGACTGAAATGGCTTCTCCCACTGGGCTGTTCGCTCTTAATCGGACCCTGGTGTACTGTGGGAAATTTGTGGACTCCGTCGGGCGTCTCACACTTCTGCTCGCCTAGCGCCATCGCTGGTTTTAGTCTTTAGCAGAAATGTCCGTGATCCCCTTGCGGGCCAGGGTTGGTGTGTCACCTGTGGGCCCCAAAATGTCCCCTCTTGCCCTGGGCCCCGTGCCATGACCCGTCTACTCACTGCAACATGTATTTCACGTGTGGAAAACGAGCATTAGCCAACCAGCGAGAAGTTAGAAGCAGAGACCCGCCTCCATTGGATCCTCCAGGGGTGACAGGCCACGCAGATGAACCGGAGGAAGGGGGGGTCACTTTGAATCTATTTTTGGTCCTTTTTGCATCTGGATGAGAGGCCCCTTGTGGAGTCTGGGCATCGCGTTTAGTGGGTAAATTTTAGATGGGAATATAAAATTTTCTAGAGCCTTGTGAGGGAGCCGTTGGAATGGAAGGGAGATGGAAGTTTTACTGTGTGTGTGTGTGTGTATGAGACTCCATAATTGGTTATATTTGGCCATTTTCAGGGAAGTCAAGCTTCATGCAGGATTTCAGCTCTTGCCTATAGTGTGGAGAATCAGACGATCCACATGATTTCGGGGAGGGAGGGGGTGGAGGCTGTCGCTACGACACATCCGCCTCACTCCAGCACCCCCCTCCCCAGTTGCCAGGGGAGCTGTGGAGGTAATGGGGGCCGGCAGATAATCGCCGTGGCAGCCGGTCTGTTAGAGCCGAGCGAGGACGCCAGATGGTGTGAACGTGAAGCCCCTTCTTCTTAAGTGGCCTGGAGGGGGCAGGTGGAGGGGGCTCTTTAACTTCTTGGTGTGAGCGCCACACTGTGAAGAAACCTTTACTGCCCCTCCCTCATAGCGGTGTCTGTATCTGCGCTGTATTTGCTGCCCCTCCCTCGTAGCGGTGCCTGTATCCATCGGCGTATTTCAGAAGGGAATAAAAATAAATGCTGAGCATAAAATGCTGTTGCCCCCCCTACTGCTAAAGTATGTGGAGGATATCGACGCAGTGAAGGCGTCCCAATCTCCCTGGGGCTAGCGGGTGTCCTGCAGATGCAGGGGGCATGCCCCCATGGGGGGTGGGGCTCTGGGGGCCCTGTTTCTGAGGATGTCTACAACCTGCGACTAGGTTGTTGCAGGGGGGTACTCTTCGGTCTGTATGATCACGTGCTTTGTCGTGCTCTGATTGCTTTAGTGATGAGAAGCCTTTCATGGGAACAAAGTAGGTTTTGAGGGTGAAGTATGTCTCCACGTTCAGCGGGCCGCTCTGACGCCGGCTCGTCACCGTCATCTGAGTCCTCAAATGGACGTGACGAAGAACTTGCAGCATAATATTCCTCACGCTTTATTCGTGCTGAACGTATGCTCCATTGTATACTTCAGAATGAACTTATTAGATCAAATTTTTCCTTCCCACATTCTGTTTGGTTGACCCCTCCCCGCTGGGGGACTGGGGGCCAGGGGCTGGATGAATGTGTAAGATTAATATTAGCTATGTTAATTGTCGGCCCCCAGGCGATTTCCATCATGATTATTGAGGGAATAATTCGATGCATCAGAAATCTTTGAATTTCTGGTATGATTTAATTTCATTAATTGATTATTTTGACAACCTTAAATTCAAACTTTTTTTGGCTTCGCTGACAAAAATTCAGAAATATTTCCATGGGAACTTAATTATACTCTATTAAAGAGAAACAAAGAAATGAGAATCTCAGGACTTTTTATTGTAAATATCAATCGGGGAGGAAACGCCAGTGTAAAATTACTGAACTGTCCAGAAAAAAGTCAGATGCATTAAAGGAAGCCGTACCGGGGGGGGGGGGGGGGGGGGGGGGGGGGGGGGGGGGGGGGGGGGGGGGGGGGGGTTGACATTACATCATCATTGTTTTTTTATTCAGTGGGAAAACAAGATCAAGAACCACATGCCACAATAAATAATGAATAATACGTTTGTCTCCGGCGTGTTCTGTGAGGCCTCTCATACGTGCTGAATTAGCCGACGAAATTCCTCGTCCCCCACTACGGAAAATGGCTGATTGTCCAATGCAATCGTCTCCGTTATTTCAGTAGTTTTTAGGTCTTTAGGTCTCGTGCTGCTTTTTCTGAAGTGTAAATGGCAGCTGGCTGTATTGACCAAGACTGAGCCAGCGGACCGATACTGGTACCTTGTCTTTTAATGAATATTGGCCAATTAACTGTATGTAATGCGACATACCGGTGAAGCAAATGGCACATTACAATCATTCAAGTGGTAAACTAGTACAGCTAGGCTGAGCTCCCTGTGAACACTGGACCTACACAACAATCTTCCAACCAAGCAAGAACCAAATAGGACTGTTTAAGACTGTTGAATGACCTGAAGAACATCATTAAGAATGTTCAGGCGTTTCTTGAAGTAGCTGATGGCCTCTGGCTGACAGTGGAGGGGGTTCTCTTGTGGATTGGGTGGGGTCTCAGTCTTTAATCAGTCTGTAATCGTCACGCGTTTGTCTTTGTGGCTGGATGCAGGATGAGACGGACAACGGCCGGGAGCTGCTGACGAGGAGGAAGAGCGAGGAGGAGGCCAGAGAGATGATCACTCCGGCGCTGAGGGAGGCTCTGACTAAGCAAGGTGTGGGGGGGGGGGCTGTAACGGGCCCAGATGTTGGAGGCTGCACGTTCGTGGCCCTGTGGCACGAGGCGGATGGCCTGCTGTTGTGTGGTCACATGAGCCGCGTCGCATGCCGGCAGACGCCCGTCGGCACGAGACGTGCGGCCTGGTACACGGTCGCGAATCGTGCGAGACTTTGAGCTTGATTAGGAGGCTTGTCGGATCCATTTGGACTGAGTGTTCGCCTCAGCGCCCTGATTCTGGCCCCCTGATGCCGCCCGGTCGGACATTCACATTCTGCTGATGCGTGTGCTCACATGCTCCCCTTCCGCCCCCCCACCCCCGCCAAGCTACTAGAGAATTTCAGCAAACACTCAGTCCTGAGAGGGGGGGGTGGGGGGCTGCTCTTATTAAATTTCTCCATTCCTCTTTCCGTCTAATCCTATTCATAGAGCATCCCTCCTGGGCTAATCAGGCATGATTGATTTAATGAACGGGGAGGAAGATTCTTGGTACGATGGGGGGAAAATGGGGTTCTGGTATGGTAAGTAGTGATGAGGGGTCGCTTCGGGATGTGTGCGGATGTCACGTGGCGTTCCGACGAAAAATACAGCAACAATTACCTACAACAAACATACTGAACCTTGTTAAGATGGAGGTCTCCCTCCAAAAACAAAAGCGCTTTGGCTCGGGATCGGCAGGATGTGCAGTGTGGGGCGCAGCCAGCGGACCCACAGAAAGTTGGGACTGCCTGGCTCTGGTGCCGGGGTTGGGGGTGCCCGTCCCTGTCCGGAGGCTCCTGTCCTGCAGTCAGCGTCCTCGGCGATGGCCTTGTGGCTTCCCGTATGAGGACGCTTGCGTGCGGATGGCGATTTCGGGCACCGTAAGGACACCTGTCCTTGCGTGTCGTCGCCAGGAAACTGCGGGGGGGCTCCGGGTGGCAGTTGGCTTATTAAATGGAGTCCTTTAAGCATGGCATCTTTCACCTGCTTCCGCAGAGAATTTGAGAAGTTATCGCTTACGTTCCAGATACTCCAGGCTCACTTTTAGGGAAGGTTACTCTGAGAACTGAATTACACAAGCAGAGTGACGCACCCATGGAGCCGGCGGCCGGGCAGGGCGACCCGCTGGCCGGAACAGGAATAACATTTTGTCTGAGAGCCCTTTGTGCGTAGTTTGGCTGCTTTTCAATACCTAATGCCTTCGTTTATTAGTGAAGCGACTTCTGTGGGGTGGTTAAGGCCTACAGAGGGGGTCCATCGAGCCCCCATTCCTGTCAGTCGGCTGACGTTTTCGAGGCAGCCTGAAATCATCCTCATGCCCTTTCTGCCCTCTGCAGGGTACCGGCTGATCGGGAGCCACTCGGGGGTGAAGCTGTGTCGCTGGACCAAGGTGAGATGCCGGCCCACAACTGCCGAGCTGCGCAGGGCCTTTCCCATCTGCCTCTCTTCCTCGAGCCTGTAATAACACTGTGGGGGCTTAATGACCAGGTAATTACAGCCGTCTGTCTGTCACCCCGCCCCCAGTCGATGCTGCGAGGACGAGGGGGCTGCTACAAGCACACCTTCTACGGTATCGAGTCGCACCGCTGCATGGAAGCCACCCCCAGCCTCGCCTGCGCCAACAAATGCGTCTTCTGCTGGAGGTAGGTTTGCGATGTGCTGCGCGTGTGGCGACCTTCTCCCTGCCCTTTACATCGCGGCCAGAGCACCATCACTGTTAAATTTCAAGTGCGCTTGTTGGAGAGCCCCCGGAGATTTGGGCCTGCGGTCTGGTCCCAATGTGCCAAGTGGTGCTATAGATCAAGTGTGAGTTTGGGTCTGTCCTCCGAACACAAGCACAGGCTCGCAATGATTGTCAGGGGCTTAGGGGTAGATGGACTGCTAAGGCTTCGAGTAGAGTAACTGAAACTAGGCAGTGTCAGCATAGTGGTTAAGGTAGAAGATTTTGTAGGAAGCGGTTTCTGATAGCTAGGAAGAATGTTGCTGTTGTACCCTGAGAACAAAATGTGTAACCCTCTGTTGCATCAGTATAATTTGCATAATCCATAAATAAAATGTATGTGTGTCTGTGGGAACAGACTAGATTGGGTCTTCTTTGTTAAATCAATCGTAGTGTGTCATTCCATCTGGTATTCAGGATGGGAGTGGGCCAGCATGACAGGGGGTCATTCCCCCCCAAACAGCTCACTGATTTGGGCTCCAAAGCTCTGGCCGGTTCATCGCTGTGCCGTCTGTGCGCATTTAGCTTGGATTAACACCCTGCTTAATGTAGGGGCGAAATAAAGCAGTTTGCTTTGATGTATGTAAAAAAAAAAAAACAATCCAAGGCAGACGGGAAACTGTCAGTAGAGATTAGGCAACAGCCACGACCCCCCCCCCCCCCGCGGGACGCCAGGTGAGACGCCGACGTGTCTGACCACGACAGGCCGTGCCTGCAGCAGTTAGTCTGCCATCGCTCTGGGGAAGGTCAGACGGAGGTTGTCTCTGTATTACGGAAGGTAACCTTTAACCAGCCTCATCTAGTTTACATCCTGGGAAACGGATCCTGGCTGTAGGGTGCTGCTGCTGGTGTGTGTGTGTGCGTGTGTGTGCGTGTGTGTGCGTGTGTGTGCGCGTGCGTGCGTGCGCGTGCGTGCGTGCGTGTGTGTGCGCGTGCGTGTGCGTGCGTGTGTGTGTGGGGCACAAGGCTGGTTTGAACTTCAGGATCCTGATGCTGGCACTGGATGGCGCTAATGAGCTGATTCGCTGGATGACTTGCTGGGTCTGACCCGGAGCATAGTTGACGTTCTTTCCAGGCCAAAATGCATAAATGAATGCTAACCATTTGCTTGAATGCCAATTATGTCCTGTAGGAGGCGCTACTCTGCTCTGTCCCTACCAGCTGACTAGAGCTGCCTTGTTTCCGCAGGCATCATACTAACCCTGTAGGCACCGAGTGGCGCTGGAAGATGGATCCGCCTGAGATGATCTTGCAGGAGGCCATTGAGAACCATCAGAACCTCATAAAGCAGTTCAGAGGTATGGTTCCCCTTGTCACGTTCGCAGCGTTTGCTGTTGCTTCTGCTTGCTTGGCACCCTGGCAGTAGGTTCTTCCTGAAGGTGCATCACACTTTTATTCCTCCATCTCTTTTCTGATGTCAGTTAATGGCCAATACTGATGCCCAGGAACTGGGGTGTCTTTGCGGTGGATTTAGCACCTTCAGGAAGCGGGGATATTGGGGTGGGGATGCCGCTTGCATGGTTCTGGTTTGTGCTTCCTGAACCTCGAGGGTGAGCAAGCAGGTAGGACAAGTATTGCCCGCATTGACCCCCCCCCCCCCGCGCACTGGCCGCCTGTCTTCCCCCTCTTCCTCCCTGACTGCCAGCTGTCGCAGCTGTCCACAGTACACAAACTTGTGAAACCTGCAACTCACTGAAGTTTAGAGCACTCGACAATAAATGCTCCGCTGGCCTGAATTCTCAATTTCCTGGGCTTTGGAGTGCTGAGGCGGGGGGGGGGGGGGGGGGGGGGGGGGGGGGGCTGGGCTGATGTCAAACGAGAGGAGAGATTTTTCTAACGAGCAGTAAGTAAAAACAAGCCCGTTTCTGGGCTTACAGCTCCGAGTTGGGTGTGTGTCTGTCTGCGGCCCTTGGGGGGGGTTATTAATTATCCCACTCGCCTTGCCCCAATACGGATCTACTCATCATTCTTCCCTGGTTGGGGGCTTTAACAAGGAGCAGGTTGGGATTCAGCAAAGCATGGCTGGTTCCTGTTTTCCTGTTGGCCACAAGATGGCGTATGTGGCATCAAAGCTTCTGAATCCGAATTCCTGTGATCATGTGCTTATCTGGGTCTTTCCACCCAAAGGAGCAAATCAGATCGGCCTTAACTTGCCCCAAAGTCAGGATGTGTACGACCTGGAACAGTGAAGTTCAACATTTGAGTTATGGGATGTCAGAGGGGACATTTCAGCCTTTTGCATGTCGTTAGATTGGATTTAATTGTTGCTCTCTGTGTATAGTAATCGCTATTATTGGATTTACAATTATATATTTTATGGTAGGATTTTCTGTATAGTATCTATTTACTATGTCGTACAGCGCCTTGGTAAACAATCAGTGTTTTTAAATGGACTTTATAAATAAAATGACCTGACTTTGTGATCTGTCCTTTCTCCTTGGGCCTGTTCTGTTATGACTTGGCTGAAATCCGCGGGGGGCGCTGGAGAGCGAGCCTCCCGCTTCCGTCTTACGCCACGGTGAGGGATGTATTTGGATCGTCGTTATCAGCATCACTGTCCTCTCCTGGGGGGGAATGATACCTTAGGAGGTGCAGATAAATCTCTCACCCTCCTCCAATGGGGATGGTAATAATCCACCCGCTCTGCGGCCCAGTTCCCAGGCTGTGTAGCGATGCGCTTCTTGCTCGTCTGATCCTAAAAGCCCGTACCATGTACTTCCTTGGTTCAGGATTACTTTCCTGTTTTCACTTCTTTCCAAACTAATCCCTTCAAGCTGATTATTCCGCCTCCTGTGTTTATGCTGTAAGTCTGATCTCAAAGCTAAAGGTCTGCAGTTGGAGTTATGATGTTTCAGTCTGTGTGAGGCCGCCGCCCTTGTGGCAAGAAGTGGAAGTGCCCAAGCGATGCCCCCCACGCTACTATTAGCCGTGTGACATTTTTTATTTGGCTTTTAGAGGGCAGGCTGGCTTTATAAAACCCCCTCCCCTTAATTATTTAGAGTGATTGCTGAGTGAAAAACTGGTGAATTCGGCACTGAGAGCTTTCCTGGAAACATTCATCTTTCCTCGTGAAAGGGTCACTTTGTGGGCCTATTTGTCATCTCCATCCGCGTGTAGCTCGTAAACATCCGGCGGTCCCTCTTTCTGGAACAGAAACGTCCCCGAGATTAGCTTCTCTGTTTTGTTTTCTCACCATGATAAGGCGGTCGTTTCGAGAAGGTGACCGTATTTCAGGTCCGGTACTGAAATGAGATTTGTTTATAGCTGCATCCTTCTTCATATACTGATAGTTTGGCTTCTTCCCGGCGCTCGGAGTTCAGGGTTTCTTGGAATAAGACTCCCGTTTAGCCACTAATCTGACCCTTTCCTATGTTGAGGGGTAACAGGCCTCCTCTTCTGTCCGAACCGCTTCGGCATCGAGGTCCTGTTGTTGTTGGTAAACCACTCCGAATGTGTGACCCTACCTGCTAACATTACGGGAACATTATGAGAACTTTGCTCACCTGGGCTGCAGCGGCTGTATGTGAGCCACGATGCCAGTGGCCCCCGGCCAGCGGATTTGTCCGAGCTCCTCGGCATCAGCCCAACACGGGTAAGTGGACTGAACCCTCCTGGGTGGAAAGCAGCTGGTCCGGCAGTGTGTGCCAGTTTGGCGTCGTGCGTGGTGGGGACTCTGTGTGCTCCAGCCAGCCAGCCACTCCTCCTGACATGAAAGAGTTGGTGCTGCGGAGCTTAGGAACGAACGAAGAAGTAGAGTAACAAATTGATGAGAAGGTGAGCTAGCAAGCAAACGGGCAAGAAAATTATCAAGCAAACCATTGTCTTGCGTAGCACATTTCTCAAATTTTCTAACTTGCTGCTATTTATTCATTGATGTGCACTACTGCTGGCAGCCTGTAGGGGGAGTGCCTGATGGCTGGGTGTGACTTGCCAGGGGTTCCCGGTGTGCTCCCGGAGCGCTTTGAGGAGGGCCTGGCGGTGCAGCACTGTGCCCTGTCCCTGGTGGGTGAGCCCATTATGTACCCGGAGGTGAACGCTTTCATACGGCTGCTGCACCAACGGCGCATCTCCAGCTTCCTGGTCACCAACGCGCAGTTCCCTGAGGAAATCAGGTGAGGGCGCCACTCTATAAATCTGATTGAAATGTGTGTTACCTGGGAGTCCTCTCTATCTATCTGCTTGCCCACCTCTGCCTCAGGGACGGAGGTCATTTGTTGTGTTGGCGTTCTGAGCCACAGTGTCCTCTGACTTGGACGGGGAGTGGGGATTGGTTGCGGTATTGTGCCCCCTGAGTCCCTGCCCCTTTTCGCCCTGACACAGGAACCTGGTGCCTGTGACTCAGCTGTACGTCAGCGTGGACGCCAGTACCAAAGACAGCCTGAAGCGTATCGACCGGCCTCTCTTCAAGGACTTTTGGCAGCGCTTCCTGGACAGCCTGAGAGCACTAGGCGAAAAGGTATGGCTCCCGCGGCGGACGGGGGGCTCACGGGTTCGAGGGTCAGATGTATTTTGAGCACGAAACAGCGGTTGCTCTGTAATGGGCTGAGACTCTTCCCACGAATCTTCCGGTTCCTAATGAGCACAGCTGGACTCTCTCTTAATTGGATTTTTAAATCTGCCTGTGTCTTTTTTGCAGAGCTTTGCTATGTTTTTAACATTATGGATCCAGTCCAAACAGTAGCTCTGCAATTTTCTTATAGTTTACTACAAACTGGGGAATGATGTAATTGTGTCCGTTTGTTGAGAAATGGGTTTTGGGTTTATATGTGCACAAATATGTGAACAACAGACATTGTCCGAAGAATTAGGTCTGGACATTTTTCAGAGTTGCTCTTTCACAGACAGCACACAACTGGCAGGACTGTCCATTTGCACCTACTAGAAATACTAGAAATGATCTGGTTGGTTTCGATGAGGGGCTGCTTGGGTAGAGTATGCAGGACACGCAGGTTTCACGCCAGTTACATGATACAAATGTCATCAACACACTCACTCATTTGAAGCGAATTCTCCAGAATTTTCCCTGCTCCATTCACACATGGGGGTCAAGTGGAAGTCGCCCGGACTTTGTACGAGGGAGCTAGCAGGGTAAAATCCATCGAATGTCCGTACATTTGTGTTTACATGCAGCCCCTCCGGGTGTCTAGAAAAGTTCAGGGTGGCAGTATGTGTCTGAATGAGAAGGAAGTAGCTTTGCACACAACAATGGCTGCATAAAGACCCACGTGGACGTGAGCGAGATGGATATGCCTCTGAGGAGGACTCCTCGCCTCACCGTAAGCCTGGCGCGTCTGCTGGTATCTGATTAACGACCCAATGAAGAGTGGTCTGGTCACCTTGAATCCTCCTTCCTGGGCGCACACGCTCCTCTGGCTTCCTGCGGGTCCTCACCGGTGACGTTGGATCAGGTAGAGTCGCATTTAGCCAATCAGGGAAGATGTCGTAAATATCACACCAGAAGGATGTTGCTGTTGTGGGGTGAAAGTAATCGGGCAGCCGAGAGGACGCCTCTCTTGAGGCCCCTCAGGTTTGGGCGGCTGGGTAGCCAAAATCATTGTACTGCTTTGCTGTTGATTTATGAGAGGGCGGTTTCTGATTGGTTTTCAGGTGGACCTGCCTTGTTCTGCTGTCGCTACGGTGTTCAGGGCTGCAGTGTTTGGTGCGCGTAAGAGCTCTGTCTTCTGTGTAAGCAGGAAACATGGCGGCCGTCGCCCTTCCGTCTGGGTCTTTTCCTTCACTCAGACGCAGCCGTCTTCCACTGTGGAGCATCAGACCGACATTTAACCTTGTGGGGGCTCAGGTCTGTGCTGCAGACAAGCACTGCAGAATGCAGGGGTTTTGCGGAGTGGTTCATTTATTTCCAAAAATTAAATGATAAAAATTATACATAATTTTTTGCCTCATTCTTCTAGTAGCTGAGGCTGGACCTGGCCAGTCTCCTTGGGTGTGATCGTCTATAATGTGATGTGGGAGACCTTCCGGGACCAGACCCTGAAGGTTGCTGAGTGTTGTGTTAGTGTTGCCGGTGTGCCCAGAAGGAGGTGATCCATCTTGCAGGGCACCCTGGATGTTATCGAGGAGTTGGAGCGCATGACTTGATTGTAACTCCAGTCTGTACTGGCAACTGAGGACGACGGCTGTGAGGGCTCAGGGCAGATAAGGAGGCGTTTGTAAGAGGAGTCTGTGAGGAAATGACACACCATCTATGGTATAATGATCCACGACCTGCTTATAGAGGAATCAAAGCATTACATACATCTGAATCTGTTTCTCTGAGAGTCGCAGTCCGGATGGATGATGGAACTGTTCTTATGGGTGATGCTGCAGTTGTGACCAGAGGTGGAAAATTCAGGTCCAGAAAGTATGAACCCAGACCAAGGTTTTGTTACAACCAACCTGTTGAGCATAGAGAGTCACAGTCATAGAGTGCTCATATGGTCGGTTGTAACAAAACCTTGGTCTGGATTTGTACTTTCTGGACCTGATGGGCCGGATACTTTGAGCGGCTGTTTAAAGCTGATGCCCCAGCTAGGTCGGTGGACATCTCTGGGTCCAAAGTTTATGAGGCTGATCCTCCGATTAGCCGTGACCCATGCAGTCTCACTGAGGTGGTGAATCAGCTGGGGGTAGGGAAGGCCGCAGGGATCTGTGGTATTTGGGGTGAACTTCTTCCAGGCTGCTGGTAAGGCTGTCCTCCTGGCATTGCAGACAATCTTTGCTTCCATTTGGGAGTCAGGCGTCATCCCGACTGACCGGAAAACAGGACTTGTAGCCCCTATCTGGAAAGGGAAGGGTGATCACCTGGATTGCGGCAACTACAGGGGGATAACACTGCTCTCAGTGCCGGGTAAGGTCCTTGCTAGGGTCATCCTTAACAGGATCCATGATCACTTGCCCACCTGTCAGTGACAGGAGCATTCTGGTTTTAAGCCTAAGACGTCTACCATCAACCGCATCCTGGCACTGAGGGTTCTCAATGAGCTGAATATCAGCAGAGGTGGGTCGGCATTTTCGTAAAGCGTTCAACTCGGTTGATGAAGTTGCTCTGTGAAACATTCGGGGACCCCCCCGAAGTTGCGGGACGTCATGGCCGGCCTGTACACTGGTACTGTGAGTGCTGTGTAGACTGGAGGCAGAACCTCTGTGTTCTTCCCAGTTGATTCTGGGGTTCGCCAGGGGTGTGTTCTTGCTCCTATTCTGTTCAGTGCTTGCATGGACTGGGTGTTGGGCAGGGTCATGGGGTCCAGCAGCTGTGGGGCATCTGTTGGTAAAGAAAGAGTCACTGATCTTTACTTTGCCAGAGATGCTGTGATTTTTGCGGAGTCAATGGAGGCTCTGATTGGGGCTTTGATTGGGAGGAGTCTGGGTGTCTGGGCTTGCGAGTGTCCTGGACAAAAACCGAGATCCAGGCCTTTGTTGGCCACTATAGTGACGAGACGAGACTGGACTCCTTCAGTACTGTGTCTCTTTGGAGAATCCTTGGGTACCGCTGGTCTGACTTTGTGTTGAACAAGCAGTTGGTAGAAGAGTCCCGAATGAGGCACATTACCTGCATCATGAGGGAGCATCAGTTACGGCACTACGGCCATGTGGCGCGTTTCCCTGCGGGTGATTCGGCTCACAGGATCGTCATTGCTGAGGACCTGAGCGGCTGGACCAGGCCAAGCGGATGCCCACATTAACATCTGGCTGTGGCAAGTAGACGGACTGGACTGCATGTTAGCCTGGGGGGGGGGGTCACCTACTCGCATTGTGTGGTGGGTATGGCGACTCGCTGTACCAGTGCATGCTCCCCAACCCAACCTGACATTTTTTTTTTTAATACACGCACGCACACACACACACACATACACTGTATTTGCATCTGAGAAAATGGAAATGTTCGATTTGCTGGCCCCCTCCAGCAGTTTTATCAGCTTGTGAAATTTTCGTATGACGTAAACTGCTCTGTAAACCCCTTACTGTAGACCTAGCTTGTTGCTGGACCCAGGAAAGCTGATGTTTGGGTCACAGCGAATGGCCGTCCTGTTACCCCCCCCCCCGGTTAAGAGGCAGGGCGCTCAGCAGCAGTGAGGCGGTACCAGGCAGCCTACCCCTGGCACATAGGTGCCCTCGCCATCTCTCGTAGACAGACCAAATATCCACTTGGCCACGTGCAGGAATGGTGTTCTCCAGGAACAAAACAGCTGGCTGGCTTTGTCGTTTGTGATTGATGATGTCGTCTTGGTTTGGAGGTGCTGATCATCATTTCGACCTTCTGCTGACAGGGAGACGGGAATGCAGTTGCTCAGCCTAGCTAGCAGGTCAGCTAAAGGCGATCTACTGTTTCAGTTTCCTTTTTTTCTGAATAGGCAGAAAACGTGGGAAGGATACGACTGACCCGATTCTGTCCATCATACGCTCGTTCTCACCGGGGCCCGACCCATGCAGCTCGCTGCACTGTGATCCGATCGTCTGCACTGGTTCCTTCACAGAAACAACTGTCAAACGCCCCCCGCCCCTCGCTCCCACGCTGTCGGCCGTTCACGACCTGGTCTGTCTGCAGAAAAGCAGCGAAAGCTTTCTTTGGATGGAAACTCAGAGGCATTTCGGGATCTGTGAGACGTCCTGAAAAGTCGGGCTTTGTTTAGTCGGGACGTCTGTCGGTCACTCTTCCACGGAACCTAATCAGCTGTCGATATGTGGCCTCCCCTTGGCCTGACGGGGAAGTCAACTCGCCATGTTTACCAGAGGGATTACTAGTCCCTGGGGAGTGGTCATCCGGTGGTGCCTGTGTCTGCTCAGCTGTTGACTGTGATTTAATCAACAGGCACTTCCATGGGCACCTAAAGGGGGCCTTGATGGGAACTTGCTGTCATGTATTACTGGACAGTCATTCTTTGTTTCTTTGTATTGCTGTCTGTGTATGAACCCCACCCACCCATAAAATCGGGGCTCTGTCATTCTCACTATTCCAGTGCTCCATCTGGCTTATTAAAATGTGAACTCCGAGATCTGTAGGGTGTGCACAGATGGTTTCCTTATAGTAATAAAGACAGCCGTATGGAGCAGGTTTGGGGGAGGGGGGGCTGCATCGGAGATGGACAAGGTGACACATGCTTCACATGAAGGACGTCCCCCCTGGGAGTCTCCGCGCACTTATGAGGTTTCTCTCTCCAGCCCCCCCATCCCCCCCCCCTCCGAACAGCCCTGCTTCTCATTTCACAACTGGAGCAGCTCTGCGCTGTGTGTGTCTGCCCCTAGGAGGCAGCGCAGACAAGCTCTCCATTCCAAGGATATTGCAGTTGGGTTTAGCTGATGGCCTTCAGACTGATGTTTTGACGGTATTACTGTGCAGCTGTAGAGAAATTTTTCAGTAACTGAATTTCATTCTTATGAAACGTTGCTGCCTGTTCCACAGCGTGCGCCACAGATGGCTGCCTTAGCTTCTTGTCTTTTGTTGCCGTGGCGTTCTCCTCATCCCCGTGTCTCCTGTGCCCCCCAGCAACAGCGCACCGTGTACCGCCTGACCCTGGTCAAAGCCTGGAACGTGGACGAGCTCAAGGCCTACGCAGAACTCGTCTCCTTGGGCCAGCCAGACTTTGTGGAGGTGAAGGTGGGTCCCATTTCACGGCTGCCGCCTCCGCCCACACCTGCCCGCCTCCGCCCACACCTGCCCGCCTCCGCCCACACCTGCCCGCCTCCGCCCACACCTGCCTTTTGGAAGCCAGGAGCGTGGTGCCTTTGCGTAGCCTGATTTCTCCAAGCTCAGACCGTCCCTCGGTGAAAGGAGGATCCTGACATGGCTGGCACTGCTGAGTGAAGCGCTGACCTCTCTGCGTGATCTCCTATTATGGGATGTCGTCTTGGGATAAGGCTTGTGGCCCATCACCTGTAAGTTCTGGTAGCCTAGCAACAGCGATCTCCTGCTTCCTCCTGCAAGGTGCCTCGGCTTTCCGGCCGTCTCGCGGGGGTGGCAGGAATGCAGCCAGGCGACGCTGGGCTCTGGCGCTCCGGCCTCCCGGCCTTGGCTCCTCCCCCTAGGAATGACAGCGGGTTCGTCACCTTGATGGTGCGGCTGTCTGTCCTTCCCTTTCGCGCTCTTTTCTGCGCTGTAACTGGCCGCGGCCTGAGGTTCTCCGTCCCTGATGCACGGCTCCTGCTTTCTTCCCTCCCATTTTAATCTACTTTTTTATTTGTCCTTTTTTAAAACGCTACCCTAAGGAACGACTTAAGATTTCCGCCCCCTGCCCTTCCGTTGTGTTAAAAAAAAAATTTAAATAAAAAAAAACCTGGTGGTTCCCGTTCTTTACAGCCTTGCTGAGTTACATGGCACTGGTGCGTACTCGTGCGTCCTGGTGAATACTAACGCCTTCTGGTGTGCTGTGTCCGATCTGCAGTGGACGACAGCGATGCCACTGCAGACCAGCCCTACAGGCGTGTAATTATAGGAGTGTTTGTTCTCAGAATGAGCACAGAGGCTTAATGACATCGCTAATTAGTGAAATGAGCGCATGGAGGCAGGGAGGTGGTTCCGGGCTATCAGGGACGGCCCTGTGTGTGTGTTTAGACAGACACTCACACACAGTAACGTGTTCCGGTCAGATGGTGGGTTACCTGCCTCTGCCCCCCCTCTCCTGTGGCATCCCCCCCCCCCCAGCAGGCCCATTCTTCATGAGCTGGCGGCTTGCTGGGTGACAGTCTCTGGCCTCCCTGCGAGTGACGCAGCTCTCCCTAGTCACCTTACCCCCCTGCTGTGGCATGGGGGGGTGGAGCCGGCTTGCAGCTTGGGGACCCCCTCTGGCAGGGCTGGGCATTTGGGTGTCTGGGGGGGGGTCTCCTTTCCAAAACACCCCACCTGGCCTCCTGCTCTCACTCCACCTGTCAGCCTCCCGGAGTGACCCCCCCCCCCAGGCCAGTTTGCAGGTGAACACTTGGTGTTTTACCTAACGAGGGACAAAAGCTGGCGAAGCGTTATCTTTGTGTGGATGCTGCGTCGTTTGTGGACGCAGAGGAGAAACCTGTGGTTGTGGGGGGCACTCCCTGGGCTTTTAATGGAACCCCACCCCTTCCAGCCTGTGTGCGACTCGCAGTCAGTCTGTCGGGGCACCACAGGGTTTTCACCGGCTGCCCGGCTGGGTCCCGCTGATCTGCTCGTTAAGTGTCTCTCAGTCCCGGCTGTCAATCCAGTCTGCAGCTGATGGCTGCCCCCCCCCCCCCTCCCCACCACCACCACCACCATCGTGGCGCTTTCCCTGAGCCCCAGGCCCTTGGCAGGGCCCAGGAGGGATGCTTTTATTAAAGCAGTATTCCCGGGCAATTAGCGTGTTATGCGGTGTTGGGCCTGACATCGGGATGGAGTTCTGCTGCTGGGGGTGTAAATTGTGTGTGTGTGTGTGTGTGTGTGTGTGTGTGTCATAGAGGTATGCATCCCAGGCTCCAGTCATTATCATGTTAGGGTTTCTGTGAGGGTTTATTTATATATTCATAATATTAAAATGTTTCTTTATTATTGTAAAGTGTACCAGAATGCTTCCCGCTCTCCCCAGGTGTAAATGGTCCCATGCTGGGCATTCAGGGGGGTGTTTGTATAAATTCCCATCTCGCTTATGGGCAGCGGCACGAATCCCGTAGCTCGCCGTCGATTCCGTAAGGGCTTATCTGTGCCATTGAGCATTATTCCGGATGTGTCCGCAGTCCACTGATAAACACAGGCTGGGATCCGGTGGGTGGGGGCGCGGTATGGGGGTGCTTATGAAGAGCACAGAGCATGTCTCCGTTCTGCTGTTGCTTTTTCCACTCGAGCCGCGGGCAGCCGTGTCCCTCCCCCGACACTCCGCCGCGAGCGGCTCATCCCGCTGACCTTGTTCTCGCTGCGCAGACGGCGGCTCTGAGAGGAAGCCATCGGAGAGGACATGCCGCCTGTCCCGCCTGGGGGGGGGGGCCCGCCATGTGCCCCCCCCCCCCGTGCCCTTCTGTCCCCCATCCACGCCTGTTTATGTTCCTCGGTCCTTGACACGCCCTTCCTCCCACATGTGAACACGTGTCCCTGTGTGACGTTCACCATGGTCTAGCGTGTGAAGGGCGCTCTGGCATCAAGGCGTGTCACTGATTATGTGTGAAAGCCTGTCTTGTGTCCATCTGCTTTGGGGGGGGGGGGGATCTGACGGGCCTCCATGCTCCAGATCGAGAGTGATTGCCGCGTTGGCAGAACTGGCGCCCTCTAATGGAGTTTTTATTTTATTATTTAAAAAAAAAAAAAAAGATTGTCGACTCCGAGTGACGAGGAGGAGTGGTATGGGATGAAGATTGCCGTCCTGCTCCGTCTTGCAGCTGCTCCGCACCGGCTAATCTGTTTAGCACTGATTTTCCTCTTTTATTTTTATTTGTTTTATATGTGTGTGTCCTCTGTAACCTTGAAATGCACTACACAATCTGTCTGCATGCTCAGTATACGTAGAATCTGAACCCGGACCCCCAGTAACAGGTCACCCCACCAGTGCACAGGTGCTGGCTGCAGTAGTAATTACCTACACACGCCTCGGGTTCAGATCCCACGCAGGGACCGGCTGTTGTACCTGCGTGCAAGGTGCTCCACCTGTTGCAGCGAAACATGGATAAAACTGGAAAATGGCCGCTTTCGAGACTGAATGTGGGCTGACCAATGTAGCACTAGAGGCTAAATTTCTAAGCATTTAAAGTATCATCACAGATGTGCCAGGGCACTCTGTCAGCAGCCAACATCTCCGGCTACTGACCCCCCCGCTGTGGAGTGTTAATGAAGTGTCTAGCCGTGTAAGAGGGTCAAGGTGGGGTCGCGTTGGACCCTGACAGTCCTGCTTTGCTTCTGTCCCCAGGGGGTGACGTACTGCGGGGAGAGCTCCGCCAGCAGCCTGACCATGGCCAACGTGCCCTGGCACGAGGAGGTCCTGTACTTCGTCAGGCAGTTGGCTGACCAGTTGCCTGATTATGACATCGCCTCTGAACACGAGCACTCAAACTGCATCCTTATTGCCCATCGCAAGGTAGGCCTGCTCCCACCTTCCAGCTTAATGTTCCTGACCACAACCACCCGCCGTCCTGTTCCACACCACTCCGGCCCGCCGACATCCAGATCCTACACACACGGCTTCCTCCGCCTTCTGTTGCTGTGACTCACTAATAACCAGTGCACTGATTTGACTGGACTCTGACAGGCCCCAGTATTTTAGGGTAAATTATCGTCTTCGTTTAAAACATTTCCACCTGCAGGGGGCCTCCCTGCTCAGGCTGTACACACACACACACCGTCTCTTATTTATTTTGTTTATTGGACTGTTCACTGCTTGACTTGAACTGTTTTGGACCGTATGAGAGTGCCGTTCTGTAGTATAACATGGTAGGTGATATTTCTGTTTCGAATTATTCTCCTGTCCTGTGCTTCTATGGCTCGGTGCCTGTAAATGCACACTCCCGTGCCACCATCCTGTTCCACACCAAGCCTGCCCACCATCCTGTTCCACACCACTCTGTAAATGCACACTCCCGTGCCACCATCCTGTTCCACACCAAGCCTGCCCACCATCCTGTTCCACACCACTCTGTAAATGCACACTCCCGTGCCACCATCCTGTTCCACACCAAGCCTGCCCACCATCCTGTTCCACACCACTCTGTAAATGCACACTCCCGTGCCACCATCCTGTTCCACACCAAGCCTGCCCACCATC